CATCAGATTAGGGTGGAGCGCATGAGGAGACTGTCATCTTCCACAAATTGATACATAGTATGAAAAACTGGACGCCCTCTTTAACTTTCATTTTCTTTTCCACATTTTCTGGCAATGTGGTTATACGCAACCTTTGGGAACCCTGAAACTGAAGCAGCTAAATGGAATGCAGCCCAAATCCATTTTATTATTTACACATGTGCCTTTCCTTCTGGGTCATTTCAAAAGGTCTTTTGGGCAAAATCTATAGAATAAAATACTGAGTGGTCTTAAACCTGAACAAGGTTGTCTTTCACATTCACTTTTAAAGACTCGTTTATTTCTAGTTTTCGAAAGGGAGCCAGTTGAATTACAGCACGATGCAGAGTGGCCTCTGCATCTAAGGTGACCTGAGTGGAGGTGATGTCATCCTGCCCATTCATGGAACACGTGAATAATTGAGGCGGGAAGCAGGCTCAGTGCACCAAGTGCTCAGTGCAGGTGCACTGCCCTCCCTCTCTTTCTATCCACGTGTCCACGTGCACATTCTTCATATCTATTGTCGGTCTGTAGCCGCGAAATCCTTACTCGCGTGCCAGCGGATGCAGTAACAACGCTGATGGTCCACGGGCCGGGGGAGCGCAGGAAGAGATGGGGGTGGAAAGGAGGTGAAGGAGTGAACGATAAGAAGAAAAAAAGACGGCGCCGCTCTCCAGAGAGCTGAAAAACGCATTCTTGCCGTGTGCCGGAGAAATGCCGCATCCTTTTCATCTTCCTCGGCTGCGTCTGCTTCCTCCTCCCTTTTCCCTTCCATCCTTCCAGCATGCTCCAGAACACGTTCGGCCTCCTTACCTCTGCCCCTCATCCTCCATCATCTCCTTCCACCGACGCCGCATCCACGGCGCCCCGTGTGTGAACGACTCCATTTGAGAAGCGCTCTGCGCGGCTGCCACCAGGTCAGTGCTGTGAATTACTCGCATTGTGATCCGTGGCCGTGCTCGGCAAGATCAGCGCGCAAACACTTAGGAGGAAGCCGATGCCTCTGCTCTGGCAGGTGGTGTTAAGGACGATTCTAAGCCGGTTATTAGGAGATCAGAGCCGGTCGGGGGGGTTAAGATCATCGGCCCTATAAGCCCGCCTGCTTCTTCCACCCTTTCTTCTCCCTTTCTCTCTCCGCTCATCTCTCCTCCACCGAGAGGGAAAGCGCGGCGCGGCGCGCGGGATGATCCGCTGGATGAACAGCTCGTTGCTGGGCGCTTCCCACGACGACATGGTGGTGTTTGAGTGTGTGACGGTGGCCAACGAGGGCTGCCTCTGCCTGGAGGGCTGCTACGGCGAGGTGCTGAGGGACCGTGTCTTTCACCAGGGGTATGGTGGGCGCATGTACACGCGTGTGTGTGTGTGTTTAGTGACAGAGGGAGGGAGGCGGGTTGGGGGGAGGCGAGTTTGATTATGTAATGCAGGTGCGTTTTAGATGTGACGGGGATTGAGTGTGTTTGCTAGATCAGGAGATACGTGTGTTTTTGCTGTAACACGCAGGCGGGCACGCGTGCTGAGCGCCGTGTTCCCTCGTGGTCTTTTCAAACCAAGCGGAGCTGGAGGGCCGCTGCCAGATGGGTAATTTCCAGGGTCAGCAAAAAACTGTGAAAACAAGCGCGGCGCCCAGAAAGGCCCGGAACTCCGTCCTATTGTCGGGCTGACTGATCGGACAGCCTGAGCCGCTTGGATTTAGAGCTTTGGAGCTTATTTAAAGAAAAGACTAACAGTGATGCAAGCCTGTTTCTCCTTTATTTCCTTGTTTTGCTCCAGATGCAACAAGTGGACCTACATTGAGTGTCGTGCAGGGGTCCCGTCTGATCAACACCTTGTCTGTCCATGCAGAGCTTTGAAATGCAGATGACGTTGTGCTGAACAAAATTATTTGTCTTTTAATAATCCTGTAGGATGTCAAGTGGTGGACCATAATGTTTCGCACTGGGTGACAAAAAGCTTTTCTGTTAAACTGTCTTCTAGCATTTTGATTTATTTTTTTTTGCTATAAACCAAGAAGCAATTATTGGTATTCTTAAAGATGCAGTTTTCTTTGATGCTGTATTTATTATCATGCATAGAATATCCTTTTATAACCAGTTCAAATATTGTGGCCTTCATTTTCTGTGTAGCAAAATATATTGCATATACAAATTCTATACGGCTGCAGAAATGTTATAAGATACTAAAATCCATCCATTAGATTTATGGATCGTACAGTATAGAAATCAATCATGAAAAGTGCAAAAACGTCCCGGTGGGTCATGTCTGTTCCTGCTGTGTTTCCCGCTCAGACAGCCTCTAACCAGCAGAGCTGGAGGATATATTTAGTCACACACTGTGAATTTTTAAACCAGTCGCTGTGTTCACTGTTGCTATAGCGATATACATCCTAAGCTTAGCTTTGTAATAGCTAAGAGAAATGTCTTTTTAATTGTCGAATTGTTTGTCAGCCCTCTCAGTGAGTCGCTGAAGGTGAAGGTTTCATGAGCGAAGCACTCGGGCTCGGTTCAATCGCTTTGATTCCAGTGAGCCGTTTTACCTCGAAGAGAATAGACTGGTGTTGTCGTTGTTTTTTTATCGCCGCAGGTTTCCCTTCGCGGTGTCTAAATGACGGCTGCGTCATGTGAACAGCTCTGTGTATTCAGAGAGCTCATTGTGACCCGACGGACAACGTTTCTGCGGCAGGCAGGCCCCGCATCAGCTGCGCGTTCACTCCGTCCTCGCCACCCGCCGCGCCGCTTCAAAGAGCAGGCCGCTGCGCGAACGACACGCATCGGTGGTGGTGACCCTCTTGGTTTTTGTATTTCTTGAGGCCACGCTTTGCTATCCAACCACGGCCCTTAATCACCAAAAGTATAGCTTTTTTTTCCTCATCGTAGCTTTTTTTTTGTGTGTAATGTTTTGTTCCGTCGCGACCCCCCCGCCGTTGACCCGAAGAGGCCGAGCCACCGGTGAACCCATGCGGCTACGTAACGGTACTTTAGCACTTTAGTTGTGTAATTAATGCCCTAATGGAGCTTGAATTTAACCTCACACGTAACCTCCTCCCCTCCCAGTGTGAGTGTGTGCGAGTCAACCGAGGCGGGATTGTCCAAACCAGCCCGCGGGCCCCTTTTGTGAGCGTGCTGCGTTTCGCCTGTCGGGATGCTGCTCGTACGTTAGCGTGCAGGAGAACACGCGGTGGTGCTGGACGCAGTCACGTGACCGTTTGGGAACACATTGTGTCCTCTGTATCTGCCGTCTGCCAAATGTTTCCGTCTATTGGCACCATTACGGTCAGATCATTGTTGGGGGGGGGGTCGGTTCCACGGGCTCCAATGAGCTCAAACTCATTCTCTAAATATATTTCTTAAAGCTGGAATCCGTTATCATTTTAGTGGATATATTATTGATTTTTCCATCAGTTGCACTCCTACGTACATTTGAGACGTGTCTCTTTTTGCAACGTCACATTTTGTGCCTCGATGAAATCCCACAAAGTCACATCTTTTTCCCTTAGATTGTACAGTTCTCCAACTTTGTCCCAGGTCTGCGTCATATGTGTTGCTATGGAAACAGCCTTTAGTAGGGTTTCCCAGCAGCGTTTTCTGATGAGTGTGAGTGTTTGTGACGCACGCGGTCTCCTGCCTCAGACGAACATCATCGTGCATCCTGAAAAAAACGGTGCACTCTTTGTTCTCAGACTTCAGGCCCTGACGGATGACACACACCACCTGATAAACCAGATATTTTCAGATGAAAACAATGATGAAGGCAGAATAGGATCCTAGAACCGCCGGCGTAGACTTAATAATAATAATAATAAAATGTTCCTTTCAAAGGGGAGATTTCCCTGCGAGTGTAGTAATCAGGTCAGTGGGGACTAATCAGGAGCCAGCGCACCGTGCACAGAGCAGTCCAGATGATTACCACGGAGCAGCCGCCGCTGGTCATCGTGCAAATTGACTCCAGAGGTACCTTAATGCAGCAGGCGTGCTTCATCCCTCCCCCTGCATCAAACGGATGTAAAGGCTCTTTGTTGAGGCTGACGGGAGCTGTCGACGCCGGCCACTATGACGCAGAGCTGGAAGCTGCACCCCGACGTAACCAGCGGATCGGTAACTGGCCGGCCCCCGACCACCACCACGGCGGCGGCCGCTGGCTGGCAGCGACGTCACGGCTTTGCATAACGCCGTGTCAAGCGAGCGGCGGGCGGCCCCGCCAACGCGGATCACTTTCAGGGCCTTTTGTCCGCTTCTGTCATTGTGAGGAGGAGGCTTGTCGCTGAGGCGCCGGTGTGTGTGTGTGTGTGTGTGTGTGTGTGTCAGAAGCTACCTGGTAGCAGCGTTCGGTGGAAGGAAAGGCCCTACTTGAGTCCACTCGACTGGAGAGCTGTCAGCGGATGTATGAAGGCGATTAAAGCGTCCTGCTCGACTCGAGATGCTGTAATTATGTGTTTGATTCTGACGCATTGTGTCGCTGATCATTTGATCACATCCTCCTGAGTGGCATTCAGGGCTTCAATTAAAATAGTTCCATCTTTTAGGGGAAAGATCTGTCATTTCTTTGAAGGCCCTCGTATAAATAAACAGCTTGGTAAATGTCGGTGTTGATACATGTATGTGGAGGCCTTCCGCCCTCTACGGCTCTGTTGCTTTGGACGTGACAGTAATCCCACGGTCATGTGAGATGGTGACATTTGTTTTCCTTGCTGCTGTTGTTGATGTTGCTGTTGTTTGCTTCCAGCATCAGCTTAGCCGTCATTAGTCCGGTCAGCACGTGGTGCTTCAAGCCTGTTAAGCCTCGAATGATGTAAGCACGAGGAAACGCTGCACGCGCTGCGCCGTAGACTATTGGCCCTTCCTCGCACCGTGTTTACGTTGTCATATTCAAGGAGCATGCGGTGATTTCAAACGCTGGCTTCTATGCCGTATCTTTAACAGTAGTCGCCGGGCTTTTTCTCATCCCTCTCTCTCTCTCTGTCTCTCTCTCTGTCTCTTCTCTCTCAGCACTGCCAGTAACTCAAACAAGAGCACGCCCGCCTGCTCGCCAGTCCCGCGCAAACGCTCGCGCTCTCCCACCCCGCAGAGCCACGAGGGCGAGAACATGGTGGAGAAGGGTTCGGACCACTCCTCCGACAAATCCCCGTCCACGCCCGAGCAGGTCGTCCAGAGAACGTACTCCCTGCAGTCAGCGAGAAGCGGGGGAAAGAACGCCAAGGTGAGCGACCGCGAGACGACCTCGGCACCCCGGTTGAGAGATGGGCGGACCCGGCGGCCCGACGTGTGGGACACATTGATTTAAGTCGACTTCAACGTAGTCTAAATGCAAATACTTCACCCTCAAACTGAAAGGAGACGTTTGATTCACTTTGACGCGACAGGAAACCGCAATGATGTGACGAGTGCACGCGAAACAGTAACACGTGTTTACTTACTTACTTACAAGAATATGACGCGTCACATCAGATAGACCACAGTGAAATAAGGTTGTAGCGGTCACAGTGGCTGCATGATGATGTGACGTCTCTGGCTGTCACGCGTCTCCATATTAACCAAATTGTTGAACTAAATGTAAATGAAATTCTATGTATTTTTGTATTTCTTAATTGTGTTCAACAGTAAAAAGAAACATCCGGATATGTTTTTGATTACATTTTGAAATCCTCTGAAGTACATACAGCTGATGATTTTTGGTACTTGGAACAAATATTTGGGAACTGTCTTTTTTTTGTGGATTTGTTTACATTCAAATATAACAATAGCTCTCATTCATCTCATTTAATTTACATTAAAATCACAAGATAAACCTATGAATATTGAGACTGATCACGTAACTTGTACACGTATAACTCGCGCAACTACCCCCCCCCCTCTCCGGCCTTTCCATGCACCCCCAAATTCTCCTCCTAAATCTTTGATTGGCCTCAGTGGAGCAAACAACAACACGCTAAGCATTGAAATGAGAAGTGATACAGGTTCTGCTCTGCACCCTTTAGTAAGTAGTCTAGTCAGATCCCCCCCCCGTCCCCCCCCATCACTACATCAGAAGCGCATTAGGAACTAATCTCCTGATGATTACAGCAAACATGACACTCGTCCGCCATTGTTTTAAAGAGGCCTTGCAAAGGGAAATGTGTTCGGCCCCGTCCGCTGACAGCGAGTCGGGGGGGGCTGATTGATGTTGCCCGAGGTCGGCTTGGCGGCGAGCGTTTCCCGCTCTCCGGACGCCGGCGGCATCGATCGCTGCCGCTCAGACGTCTCCGTTCGGGCTGCCGCTCTGTAGATGAGTTCAGAAGGAAGCGGTGACAAACACAGAGGAGTGTGCAGGTGCTGTATTTGCTGTCCCTCCCCCCTCATCCAGACACACAACTGAGCTCGGTGATGGATGGATTGAATCTCGCAGGTTGTCTCGCAGAAGGAGCGTATGTCAAAATGTGTCTCCGGCGTCTTCTCATCCGTCACTTGTCGTTTTTGTCTCTTTTTTTTTCTTTTGATCATGTTTTGTCTCTCATCACAGTGTGCACGCCTTCTCGCTCTGTTGCTACTGCTACATGCCATATGAAACTGTGCCATCTGACAATGACTGTCCAGCTCTTCTGTCGGTACTTTCAGCTGTTTCTTCTCGCGGTTGATTTACTTTTTTTTTCTTCTTGTTTTCATTCTTCTTCTTTCTGATTTTTCTTTCTTCTTCTCCTGATTGCATGCTAGTCTCACAAGCGACTTTCCAAAGTAAGCATTACTCTTCTTTCTTTTTTTTTTTGTCTTTTTTTTTTTTCTCTTCCTCCTATATCTCTGTTCCCCGCCTCCCGTCTTGTGAGCTGCTCTGTGGAAATGTCCCAACCCCCCCGTTTGCAACGCTTCACCCTGAACCCAGCTTGTCCCCCCCCCGTCTGCAACCACCATCACAGCAGATGGGCATTTCTGAAAGGAGTCGAGCTCCCTCCCTCTCCTCTTCCCTCCTTTCTCTTCCTTACTGGTCATATGCAGTGTAGCAGCTTCCTGCGAACACTTTCAGACTTTTGTGTCGAGCTCAGCATAAATAACCAGCATACGCTTCTTCTTTTTTTGTTGATTTAAAATTCAGATAAATCAAAGAATAAAAACAAATGCACCCATTTTGAGGGAGAACTGGGGCCATGTGGTTGAATTCTGCAAATTCCACTACTGCCAATAATTGTCTGGGTTCCTCTCCGTTTTCCTCCCCTGTCCCCCGGGCCTCCCTTACCGGACTGATCTCCTTGTCACACGCCGGTAATAAAATAAAGCCTTTAAACTCGGCGCCCAGCATCCCAGTCCAGAGCCCCAGGGCTGTTAATGAGATCATCCCTCCTGCCACTTGCACCACAAGCCCCTCCGCCGCCTGGCCGGAGACGCATTTTTAGTGTATCACTCGTATCGTTGCTTCACCCGTTCGATCGGCGCCCCGTCAGACCTTCATCGTGTGCCTTCTCTTTTTTTTTTTTATGCTCGTTAGATTTACTGCAGAGGGAACGGGGGGGAATCCGCGTGTAGGCGCTCGTTTTATCGGCACGGGTGGAAACAATAAATGTCAAATGTCTGCGGCGCGCGCACACACACACACACACACACATCCAAATTGATTAGATCCCGTTTTCATACTGCGGCCATGTCCCCCCCCCGCCCCCCTGCCTCCGTGGTCAGCACTGGTCACGTGACCCCACTACATGGCGTGAGGTCGTCCCGGCAACGTGAGCTTGATCACCCTGGCGCTAATGCAATCCAAATACGAGAGTGCATTCAGCGAGCGGGGGGGGTGGGGGGCGCGACGTCAGCGGGCGTGTTGGCTCAACAGTAAATCACTCGGGCGTCTCACGAAACACCCAAACTTGGTGGTGGGGCGTCGCGTGGTCGTGGCAGTCGGGTAGAGTTGCTTATTAACTCCTTTTGCCCCTCTGTGTCCGTGTTGCTCGCTGCTTTGGTTAACGTTTTCTTTTCTCTTTAATTTCCCTCCAGTATGACAGACTAAACCTGATTAAAGTAAGCATTTCTTCTTGTTTTTTTTCTTCGTTTGACCCGTTGACAATCCCTGCTGGCCCCCATTAAATCCCCCCGGCCCCTCCGCTTCCTCTGTAGCTCTGCGTCTTTAGGATCCCCTTTGATGGTCCCAGTCCCTCGTGTCCTTTCCCATGCTTTCCATCCCCTGAATTAATGTGGAAGGGCGGTGATTTGTGAGCTGTGTGGAACATCATTTATTCCAAAGCGTTTTAACAGCGAAGATCCTGCTTTATTTAAAGCCCGTTGTAATCTGAAAAACTGGTATTTGAATCAACCAGGCGTTGTTGCACCATCGTGTCGGAGACATTTTAGACGGGACAAAGGCGAATAGGCGTATATATCTTGGAGCTGTAATCCACTGGCCCGTGCATGCAGACATTTAGGCAGAACCACCGTAAATCACGGGCTGTTGGATAGTCTCTCCCTCCCTTTTCCTCCTCCGCGTTATAACAATGCTGTCATAAATCACCCTTGGGTGCAGCCGCACCACGTCCAAAGACAAAGGGCGCACACACACACACACACACACACACAATACCTGTCCACACTCAGTGGTCTCGGAGTGATTCCTCTGTCACCTTCAAATCAGATCAGCCCACATTAGCCCGCCGATCGTCACGGCCGGGCCCCGTTACTGCGGCTCAATTACGCCAGATCACCACCGGACCTGGTGAGACGCGAGGAAACCTCCGACGCTCACACGCTTAGAGAAATGGAGTGTGTTTTTGAAAAGGAATTCTGCGTGTGTGTGTGTGTGTGTATATATATTATATCCCACGTAATCGCTATAATCAACTCCACAAAAATACACTCTTTATTTTTACTTTCAGTTATTGTTCTTGTGGAATCAGACGTTGGACGTCGCCGTGTTGCTTTTTCTCTTCGTCCTTTCACCCTCTGAATGATCACCTGCATGTTTCCCCTCTGAGACCTCTGCTCTTAGAAAGCGTGTTTGTGTGGCTGATTTGATGTCGTGGTCGTGATGGAGACACATCTCTGCTGCCCTCTGCTGTTTAAGAACCAGCAACACGATCAATTGATCGTTCATGGAGAACAACCCTCCGATAAATTAGAGGTTACTGACCGATTTGTTTGTGAGAGACATATTTTTGCACATGCCTGTTGAATTAAAAATATGTATTTCTTTTAACGGTGTATCTAATGTATTAATGCAGTATGTGATATTTGAGTGAAAATACTTTCAGTTCTGCCAAAAATGAATGCAGCTTTTATTTTATTGTATTTGATCAATCAAATCGATGTTTCATTCAGAGTCATTTCTGTAAGCAGCAGCTTCCTTTGAACTGAAAGAGAATTTCACCCTGTGTCAACCGCAGCACCTTGACGTCCAAAATCACACTCGTCCTTTGTGTTATTTAACAGTGTTGATAACATACTTCAATTCCTGGCAGGAAAGAGTGCGATGCACCGATTGACCTTCACGACCTGCTGTAACATGTTTCAACCAGGTCGATCCCATTTCACCCTGTGTATGTCCGTATGAGCCCCAAAACCCTGCTGCAGCATGTACCCGGTTAAAAACGCCCTCTGTCTCTCTCTCCCTCTCTCTGCAGAAGAGCCAAAGCTGGTACAACGTAAGTCAGACCTTGTTTTCTATTTGCATTATAAACACATGCCAAGTGTCTGATGGATGTACATGTGTGCCGGGGTGCGTTCACGTCACGCCGAGGACTCCTGAAAGTCTCTTTGGTTAGTTTTTAGTGGCAGGTGCTGGTGTCGTCCTTGGCCTTGTTTGCTGGAGCACCAGGTCACCACTTTACTGGTCTGCGGACGCAGGGGTTAATAGCATGGGCTTAAAAGACAACAACGACAACAACAGGTGGTGCTTTCTGATGCATGGAATCGGGGCAATCAGAAGACTACAGGATCTATTTACCAAAGTGACTCTTTAAGACAGCGAAGCCACGTCACTGTGGCTTCATCTTGCACCACTAGATGGCGCGCTCGCTCTACTCTTGGCTCATTTCCTTCTCTTTGTATTCCCTGTGTGTACACTCTCCCCCTCTTTCTCCAGCATGAAAGACAACACATCCTGAGAGTAAGCATGACTTGTATTCTTGTGCAACCCTGACTGACCGTCTTCTCTGTTGTCAGACCGGTGGATCGATCCCTCCTGCCTGTGTCTCATTCCATTGACTTCAGTCAGTGTTGTTACCACCTCACAGCAACGCCACACTTTGCAGGAGGCGATTTGACATGTTGAAAACATTTGTCAAATTGCAGATTTTTTTATTAATTAAATTTTGCCCTGACAATGTGTGTTGTGGATTTGTCTCTCGCTAGTCCCTGAGATGGTGATCAAAGGCCTGACGCCGCTCAAACGTCTAATTCTGGTACGCAACAGGTGGTAACAAGCCCACTGAGTTTCTCGCTGTACTCAACAGATCCATAAACAGTCACAAGGGCCTCTGGACGAGCCTTGAATGCCTTTTGAACAACGGTGGAATGGAGCGCGGCGCGATTCGTCGCGGCCTATTTCCCTTCTGTTTCGGTGTCCCGTGTCCTAAAAAAAAAAACCCATGGTTACATACTTGTTATTTAGGCTCGTGTTTGAGAATCCGCAGAAGATGCAGGGACCTTCCTGCCGATAAGGGAAATGGAGAACGGCTGTTGCGATAAAAGGAGGCTTGGTCCAAAAAGTCCAGACACTTTCATGAGAACTTCTCTAATGCACCCGGCTATTAGGGGCCCCGCACATTTCCTTCCACCGACCCGCCACCTAGAGAGGAGCGCCGCATGTGGCAGGCTGGAGATAATGTGGCTCTGGCTAACGGATGCAAATGTCATGTTAACTGCTGACGTGCAGTATACAAAGTGTACAAGGTACCAGGACCGCCGGCCCAAAGCGGCAGTGAGTTTATCCTGCTAACACGTATGCTGTGTGTGGTTTATTGCTCCATGGCATCGATCCCCGACGGTGTCCAGAGGACTGGCGAGAACTCACCGCTGCACTTTGACCTCACCCTCATTACCATGAAGACGGGCGCTGCAGTTTATCTCCACACCCGCATACAGCACCACATCCTGCCCCCGGAAGTGCCCACGAGGGCAGCCTTTGTATTCCGCCCGCAGGCGAAAGTAGTCCCCAAACAAAACACTGTTAAAGTCTTTTGAGTAAAGTTTGCTCCAAACTATAGTGTGTTTTTAGAAAAGTGGCCAGCCTTCATAGGAAGGAATGCGTGGCGTACTTGCGAGCATCCATATCTTATAATGAAATGAACGATCCAGAGACCGAACAAGGCATCGTTGGTTTTGGTCTTCACAGAAAGAAAAATATAGAGCAACACTATTGTGTGTTATCCTCTAACACCAAGTGAAAAATTGATTTACCATCCCACGGAATTCACCTTCTACAAATAAGTAGGCTCCTGACATCTTGTACACTCACGGTCAATAGTGTCCAATCATTACCTCCGAATCGTTGGGCTGTGACTGTACGCGTGGGCGTTGTCCACCTGCATGCAGGACGGCACGCCCCTACGTGTGCACCTCTACATGGCGATGATGACCTCCCATGGCACTGAAACCACAGTGATTAAAAAGAACCCATCCGTCCTAATGTGAGTCTGAGCCGGTCAGAGATGCGCACGGCGGCCGTCTTCCTTCCGCAGGGTCGACGCGCGCCCACCGGCCTTTAGAATGACGAACCCCAAAGGTCGAAAGGATGCGAGTGTCACCGACGGTTACCCCGGGCGCTCATTGCCCTCCAAATAGTAACCCCCCCCCGCCTCACGGTGCCTGTCTCCTCCATCTCCTAATGTTTGTACACCGTTAATAGTTAACCGGATCCATAAACACTGCGTATCTGCAGTCCCACCTCATCCCAAGTCCCATGCTGTCACCTCGACGCCGGGGGGGGAGGGGAGGGGTGGGGGCTGCGCCAGTCACAATGGGCTCTTTCTCGGCTTGATTCATTGGAGAAAGCAAACGGCGTCAGCAGGAAATAAATGATTTCTACCAGCGAGGACGACTGGGACGAAGCATTAAACCATCCTTCTGCTGGAACTTCCTCCACATGATGCAAAGGCGTTCTCCTAATTTGTTTTTAAGAGCTGCGCTTGAATGGGCGCCACTGTTTTCCAAGAGGCCCGCTGCTGAAGATTATTCCCCTGTTTATTTCTCCTGCGTCTCCTCGCTGTGTGGTTTAGAGTGAGGACGGGGAAACAGCCGGAGAAGAAAGGTGGAACTCGTGGCGGGATTCCAGCGCTCCAGGGCCTCATCCAGCAGGAGTGAAGGAACTCAAGACGGAGTTGGATCGTTCTTTTTTTTTTTTTTCCCCATTGCTGCTGGGACCTCCACCACAGTGCCCACTTTTCTTGACCTTTTGAAATATTTTTAGTCAAGACTAGCGGAGGGACATGCACACAGATTGTTTTTGTTAAGGGCTGCTAAGAATAAGAACTGCGAGCTCCGCATCGTTCGGGCCTGCTAAGAGTAACAGGGAGATCAAGTATCACGTGTACGCGAATAACCCCGATACCGAGGCCAGTAGGGAGGAGGAGGAGGAGGAGGAGGACTCCTCCTGCCTGCAATAAGCATCAAAACTGCAGCAATCTGTCCTTTTTTGAGTTTGGATCCCAGCAGCTGTTGATCCCGTGAAACGAATAAACAGAGAACTGTTTACAAGTAGGCCGGTCGGCCCACTTCACCCTTTCATGTAAGCTCCGGGCCGCGAACCAGCGCAGACGCCGTCAAGATTGATGGTTTTGTTTTGCAGGCGGAGGTAACTGGAGGTTATGCTCACATCTGTTCTCCGTAACTTAATCACGTTGGCGGACGGCAAGACGGACTCGTACTCCAGCAGCTGGGAGCATTCATTTTAAATCCTCTATTCAAGTCCTGTTTTCTCTCCTTTTTAGCTTCTTTCTTCCACACTTACATCTCTAGTTTGTGGAGGGCAAAGACGAACAAAAGACGCTCCGTAAACTGGGTCATTACGAGGCACTCGGACCCGGAAAGCACCCCGCAAACACACTCTGCTCACACACTCACCAGGCGGGGTAAGCAGGGAGAAAAAAAAAAGGAAAAGGCTACTGGCATGATAATAAAAGACTTGTTGGCCGGGGTTACTAGAGGGCAACGGCTGCAACTCCTCTCCCTGTGTGTGTGAGAGGGGGAGAGAGAGAGACGGAGAGAGACGGAGAAGCACACAGAGAGACAAGGATCATGTGGCTGGAGCGTCTCGTGTCCACCGCTCAAGCCTGAGAAGGAGCAGCGCCCAAAACGAGGGGCGTAGGGGGGCGGAGGGGGGGGGGTTTGATAACGCAGCTCGCAAACGCCTGGAATCTCAAGCTCCGTCTGCACTTATTTTCCAAGCCGCGCCGTAAGTGACAAGTCCTCCGACGCCACAAGAGCCCCACTGGGCGGAGGGTTGGCTGCCGAGCCGGATCCGGGGCGTCGAATATGGAGTCGGACGAGGATTGCACGATGTCCGACTGGGAGGCCGTGCTGGAGCTGGATGAGGCGTTGGCGGGCTGGTTCCTGCAGGGTTCGGCTGGAGGGGAGCGGGGCCGACCTGCCCCCGACCTGCAGGTTCCCGGGTGGGACGCTGAGGAGATCCCCGCTGTAAGTTGACCTCCACATGAGGAGATCTGTGAGGAAAGAGTTGCCACTTGGACAGACTTGAGCAAAGTCCCAAGACGAGGGGTGGGGGGCAGTTATTGGGCTTTGTAGCACTAAGCATTCTGTGGTGTGGCTCTGGTTGTGGCTCATAGTGGCCTTCGTCGGGTCACTGAGTGACTAATGGTGTGCTTTGGTTGCTCTTGGAAACGGATGATGGTTTTAATAGACCATCAGCTACATGACTTAAATTATCAAGGGTCTGTCGGCGATGTCACTCGCTAGTTTTCAGAGCAGCGTTTCTCGTCCACTCACTTGTTTTAAAGGGGGATAGAAGTAGAAACCAATACTCGGAGTGTATCAGTAGATCAAATGCCTTGTTTTACAAGGCAGGCGTCTGGACTTTTAACGTGAACAAGATGTCCTCTTTCAGGGAGAGCGAGGAGAATTCTTTCTTTTGTCTCGGCACACATCTCGTTACCGTATTGGCAGCTATTGTTTCCTCCTTTCCTGTTGAGGGAAAGCATCTGGCACAGACAGCCCTCAGTTTGGCGCTCATTTGGAGATCCTTCCCGGCCCCTCTCTCTCTGAAAATAATCCCGGGCGAAGGAAAGTGTGCTCACGTTGAGAGGGAAAGTCTTCCACGGTGCTGATCGAACTGCTGTGCACAGTTTCATCAGAGGGCCCCCTGGCCCTCGCCGTTCGACAACAGCCTCATTGTCGGACACAATGACGCAAATTCGGAGCACGTGACCCGCGTTGCAAGCGCTCATAGTCGTGGCCGCATGTGTGTGTGGAATGACCCGCAGCGGGCTGCTGTTTTGCAAGTGCGCTTCGTTGTTGTGTGTCGGCAAGAAGCCCGTTGAGGCCGCGCACGTCTGCTCGCCGTTCACCGCACATCCATTAACGGGGCCTGACAAAACCACCCGCCGACCAAACCCGTGGGTGGTTTTACGAGGTGATCTCACAGAAACGATTAATCGGGGAGGAGGGGGGGGGGGTTCTGCTGTGAGTGAGCGAGAGTCAGAGAGCACGAGGGGTCCGGTGGCTGTTTGCTGACTCTGCCCGTCACCGCAGGTGCTGAGCCCGACGTACAAGCAGCGCAATGAGGACTTTAGGAAACTCTTCAAGCAGCTCCCCGACACAGAGAGGCTCATCGTGGGTACGTTTACAGAAGCTTCTGAATCTCTACAAAACAGTAATAACCGCACAAGTGGCGTTGATGAGTTCTTGCATGATTTTGCCAACAAATGAACACAGCGATGCTCTGAAACTCCTACACACACATATACATATACACACACAAATGCTTGAATGCTCTGCAGTGAGGCTTCTTTGTGACAATAAAGAAAGCGCCATCAAATTGACTGAACGTTAACAAATCGGTCTAATATCTGATCTATTATGTAGCCGTTTTTCCAGCTTCTGGATGTAGTTTTTCTGTGATGAAATGTTGCATCCTACTTACCAAGTGTGCTGATGTTCTTTCTCTCTGATCCAGACTACTCTTGTGCTCTTCAACGGGACATCCTCCTGCAGGGACGACTCTACCTCTCCGAGAACTGGATCTGTTTCTATAGCAACATCTTCCGCTGGGAAACGCTGGTACGCTTTGTTAGTGTTCAGGACCTCTGTGCATCGCCGTGCTTCTAATATTGACAGTATCGGGTCAGACTTGGAACAATAGTGTGTGTGAGTGTCTAAATGTGTGCATTATTTCCTGTGTGTGTGTGTGTGTGTGTGTGTGTGTGTGTGTGTGTGTGTGTGTAGCTGACAGTGCGGCTAAAGGACATCTGCTCAATGACTAAAGAGAAGACTGCCCGCCTCATTCCCAATGCCATCCAGGTCTGCACAGACACTGAGAAGGTAAATAATACAGAACGACTAACGACAGGTGGTTGTATGACAGAATAAACATAAGATGTAGCGGTAAATATGTCTAATATAGTTATTTTTTCCTAACGTGACATTAGAGTGAATGGCACAACTCAAAGTTATCTGGAATAAAGGGGTTATTTCTCAATTGCGCACCAGACTCATAATTAAAATATTTCTTTTCAGCACTTTTTCAGCTCCTTTGGAGCCAGGGACAGGACGTACATGATGATGTTCAGACTGTGGCAGAATGCGCTGCTGGACAAGGTATGAATCTGATCTGAACTCTGTTAACATTAGTCCTTGTTAATGTTCATAATAAGTGTTTTTGGAGCCTTCTCATTTCTCCCTTTGGTTGCTTGTGGCCTCTTGCAGCCTCTTTGCCCCAAAGAACTGTGGCACTTTGTTCATCAGTGCTATGGCAACGAGCTCGGCCTAACCAGCGACGATGAGGACTACGTTCCCCCCGATGATGACTTCAACACCATGGGGTGGGTGAATCGATGCAGCATCATCGGCTACTACGCTTACTGCATTGTAGGCACATTTCAGTCGGTTACCTAATTGCCCGAAATGACAAATGAATCGGAGCCCAAATTGAGGCGTAAGAAGGAACGCTCACGTGCTGAGTCACGTACGCGCACGCTCACTCTCCCCGGCTCACTGCTAACCGAGGGCCGCGTTGAACGTCCGTCTCAGCTGAGTAATAACGCAATTTGAGCTTTAAAGCTGCGAAAGATGCCGCACATCAAACACGGGATTCTTCCCGAAGGCTTTAAAGATCCGCTGCGCCTGTTCCGTCAGTGGGAAATCAATACAGAGCGTGCTTTTGACTGTTAGGTCTCCACAGTGCACTCGCCGCGTCGGAGGTTTTACTGCCTTTGAGAAAACGCGTGAGAGCTGAGCGGTTTGACAGAGACTTACTTCAAAGGGTTGAACTGAGGTCAACGAGATAAAACCGCCTACATCGCTATCCGTAAAGGGACGTGTAGATCATCTTTACTTCTAAACGTTATAATAAAAACGAATCCCATGCAGACACGAAGCCAACTGCTGTGAGTGTCCAAACATCCTGAAATCATGTACAACACTACTTCTCACTGGTTTAATAAGCGCCTCGTTCAAAGCGTGAGATGAGATTAGTATAACTGAGCAAGGCTCTGGCCTTTCGCCGGCCTCTGGTCGCCTTCAGGTTCAGCGAGGAGATTCCCAACGAAGAGAATGAGATCATCAACGACAACTTGTCGAAGAGCAGCGCTGACGTTAAGCCTGAGGGGAGCCCTCCTCCGCTACACAAGAAGATTGTCCCAAGCAGCACCCTGCCCAGCCCGGGCAACCATGATGCACCCATCACAGTGAGTCACACTCATCGGCGCAGTTAGACATAGAGACCTGTGTGGGTCAGACGGACTACGGGACATTTCCGTGATAGCGATGGATGCTCATGTCCTTCTTTTCTCCAGTTCGACCTCCCAGGGGAGGAGTACGCAGACTGCCTCCCCGACGGCGAGCTGCTCGCGTTGCCCCTTTTGTTGGAGGAGAGGAACTTTGCCACCAGCGGGCCTGGTGGTCTTGTCCCCTCGCCGTCTCTGGACTTCAACGACAACGAAGACATCCCGACCGAGCTCAGTGACTCCTCGGAAACCCACGACGAGGGTAACGGCACAGAACAGGATCGACCCCCACACACACACACACACACACACACACACACCTCCCCTTTGACACGAATGCATGATTCTTGTAATAAGCTGAATTAGTCCTCCCATCTGGTCTTGGGCCCGTAGGTGAAGTGCAGGCCTTTCAAGAGGACCTGAACGGCAGGCAGCACATCAATGAGATCTACAAGTTCAACGTGGACAAGCTGTACGGGATCCTCTTCACTGAGTCGCAGTTCATGAATGACTTCATGGAGCAGAGGCGATTCTCAGGTCGGTATCCCTGCCCCCCCCACCCCGGTCTCTCTGCAGCGGAAATGTGGTCGCTTAATTAGCGCTCTCGTCACGTTGCTGTTCAGATGTGGTGTACCACCCGTGGAAGAAAGAGGCGGACGGGAACCAGACCAGGGAGATCCTCTACACCATCTCGCTGTCCAACCCACTCGCCCCCAAAACCGCCACGGTCACGGAGACGCAGGTACGCCCACCTCCCGCGTCTCAGACGCACCCTCTGAGTCGGGGGAGCGACGATGAATTAAACCGCGTTTCCCCTTCTTCGATCAGACTCTGTACAAAGCCAGCCAGGAAAGTGAGTGTTACATCATCGACGCCGAGGTCATCACGCACGACGTGCCCTACCACGACTACTTCTACACCCTCAACCGCTACGTGCTCACCAGGGTGGCCAAGAACAAGTGTCGGTTACGGTGAGGAAGACGCTCACGGACCACCGGCCAGACCTCGTATCACGTTCAGCAACTTGCTCTCTACTTCCAGTTTGATGACCTCAATGTCGGAGTCTGTGCATGAATACGTTTCTGTTGGCCTCTCAGGGTATCGACGGAGCTGCGCTACAGGAAGCAGCCGTGGGGGCTGGTCAAAGGCTTCATAGAGAAAAACTTCTGGAGCGGACTTGAACAGAACTTCCGTCACCTTGGTAACCTTGAGTTTTGTTTGTCTGTTCTGAGGGTTGCAATATATTTGTTAGTGCAAGTCTTTTTTTAGCAATTAGAAACAAACACTTAAAGTATGCTCGGCTGGTGTTAAGGAGAGAGAAAATAGACTCAACCGATGCTTCACAAAGACGTTTTCAACAGGTGTGGCGATCTGCGTGAATCCCACGAACGTGTAACAGCTGTCGTCTTCCCTCTCAGAGTTGGAGCTGGCCAAGCTGGAGGAGTTACTGACCGAGTCCCAGCAGCTGTCTCCGAAGGCCAAGGTGGTGAAGAACTCCACGGTGCGGCGGAAGAAGAGGCCGCTCCCCCACGTGCGCAGTCAGCATCTGGACGAGGCGCTCAGCCCCGTTACCACGCCGACGGATGAGGAAGTGATTCAGAGGATCAAACAAGTGGCCGGCTCCACGCAAACCAGGCACCAGAGTTCAGACGCCCATCGGCTGCCAGGAGGCCTCGCTCTGTACAGCGTCTCCAAATTGCTGCTCATCATCAGCTTTGTGTACGAAACGCACTCGTTTATCCGGCAGTAGGGACGCAGAGACCTTCAACACATGCCCATTTCACATATGTCAAAACGGAGAATCCTCTCTGGCTCACGTTTTGTGTTTCATTTGTCATTTTTTGTCTCATTCGCATAGAGACAACCAGACCAACTTGTTTTCTTATAAATATCTCATTGTTGTTGTCTTGAGTGTAACCTCTCTTTCCTCTCCTCTCATTGCCATCCATAGGATCTGTCTAAGGTACATAATGTGATCAGCCAGCATAGCCAGATGAATATGTTGAAATGTTCTCCCAGCACAGAGGTTGTTTTGTCATCAACGGATGAGCTACTTGAAGGCACCATGAATTGTTCAAAATGTGAAGGGGAGGACTGATCCCTTTTCCATCTTGCCCGCCCCCTTCAGCCTGGTCCTGCTGGTGTTCCTCAACATGATGCTCTTCTACAAGCTGTGGATGTTAGAGTACTCGACACAGTCCTTAACAACCTGGCAAGGTCTGCGGCTCCATGAAAAGTACGCACACACACACACACACACGCAAGTGCACACACGGCTAATATTTTAGCAGCCGTCATTATTACCGAACCGATTTATTGAGGAAATACAATCTGTTTTTTGGTAGTTTGTGCATTTTAGAATACAAAGAAAACGTTATCTCCTGCTGCAGAGATTAGTGGCGTTCTGTTTGGCTGTTTGCCCGAGACGCCGTCACAACTACGCGCACACAGCTACGGACACGCACAGACTAAACTGAATCCATATGGCCGTTGACGTGTGCGACAGGAAAACACTGAGCTTCTAAAATTCCCCCTGAATAGCTCTGGGCCTACTGAAACAATTTGCCAAATTGTATGTTGGCGAGTCCTTCCGAATGGAAGTCATGCTCGAGTGGCGGCGCCCTGATGTTACTAATGTGCGTGCATGCGTGTTTCCCAGCAAACTGCCTCAGACGCAGATGGAGTGGGCCCAGCTCCTGGAGGCCCAGCAGCGTTTCCATGACGCCGAGCTGCAGAGATGGAGGGAGATTATCAAGTCGTCAGTTGTGCTGCTAGACCAGGTACTCCCAACACAAAGGAACACACTTTTAAAAGACCCCCCCGAGTGTGTGGCGTCTGCTGTATTCAGAACGTACTGTATTCACGGCTCACACAGACACATCTGACACTCTATAAACGCACAACAACCTATTTTAACACCAGAGGTAGCAAGCCTTTTGGCCAAGTGGAGTATTTCATGATACTGTACACAGTGTTGACCGATGTGCTGAAAGGCGTTACATTCCCCACTGAAAGAGGGCGCCGGTGAGCCAGTGAACTTGACCTACTGGACGTGTGGGACATGGAATCTCACGCCACACAAAGCCTGCTGCACACTGTAATGGCAAAGGGTGAAGAGAGAATCACACAAGAGGCTGATGCAGAAGGATTCTGAGACATTTTACAGTTCATGTTTAAGATTTCTGATTTAATTTCCAACCGTTAAGGTGCTTGGAACATCTTATTACACTACAATATTATGAAATTATTCTGGTTATCCTCAATGATTATTCAAATAAATAAAATAATAAATAAAAAAGCAACCGTTTAAAGAAGAAAAATGTGTATGTACGTTTACCTGGTGCTACATTTTCAAAAGAAGCGATTGAATATATAAACTGTGTGTAATATATATGTAAATATATATAATATACATTAGCTATTGAATAATCTTCTCACCTTGGATCGATAAACAAGCCAACTTTCATTACTCTTCCTTAGATGAAAGACTCGTTACTGAACCTGCAGCGAGGCATTGGCTTAAGGGACTACAGCGCCGAGGCGGAGGAGAAGAGAAGTCGCTACCACTGACACGCCGCCAACAAGGCCATGAGGGCATGCTGTGCAATATACTGTAGGACCTGTTTTGTTTGTGAACCAGTATGAGGGCAGCGGCAAGACGCAAAGCGAGGACCGAGGGAGCTGGTCCAACTGGCACAAAGAGAGCGTCCCTCGTCTCCGGCGCACAGAGGCTGAAGCCTCCGGGAGGAGGAAACCACGGACAGAAAGTGCCGCTTTCCACACACAGGACTGAGGTGTCCCCACCATCACTCGTGGTAAAGGTGCTCCTTCTCGACACCTTGAGGGACGGACCGTTTTCTTCTCCGAGTGCATCCCACTGTAAGCCATGTCGACCCGAGAGGTCGCAGAGAGGAATAAGGGAAACTACTGCATGCATTTAGACAACCTAGCTACCCTCAGTCAGTGTTAATGTGGTCCAGTTCCAGTCTATGTGTGTGTAAAAAAAAACAGAAAAAAACAGAAGACGAGGAGAGACTGAGTCGAAGAAAGGGGGGAGGGGGGGGTCCTTTTTTGCGTCTTAATGGCCGTCTACACTCTCTAGACTGTTCCAAACCAGTTGTCCCTCTAGGGGTCCGCGCTGCAGCGTCCCTTTAGTGAACCTCCATGTGATCAAAGTACAGAATCCTCCCACAACCAAAAGGGAAAAGACGAGCTGCAGCTGGGGAGCTCGGCTTCAGCGAGTCCATGTTGCCCCGTGTGAACCTGGCCCGCCGCGTGGTCTCCGTCAGGGCTGGTTCCCTGTCAGACTGTTTAAATATTTATAAGTAGATTCTAAAGACAGACGAGACCGAAGCCAGTTCTTTTAACGTTGTTCACGATTCACTTGATCAGTCGCCCCTGCCACATTGTTAGCTTCCTTACGTTGCATCACTCGTCATCCTTCTACTGGATTAGAATGTATCAGCCTGGAGAAAAGGAAGGCAGACTTTGATCACAGCTCACACGTTTTTGAAAAAGGGGGTGCTGTAGCCAGACCAATAGGGAGATCTGTGTTCTTACATGTTTTATTACTAAACTGTGACTATATCTCTTTAAAAATGTTTCAAATTAGAAAGAATTCTATGAATATATTTGAAATATATAAGAATATTTCATTATTTAATATATATATATTTCAAAATATATAAACATTACCTATATTTATTAATTTATGTAAATAAAGAAATTATCAGAGCTCTAGACCAGTTAAAGAATTTCTAACGACAAGTGTTTTCTTCGAAAAATGCATGCCAGATATGTCTGTGACATGTCCAGTGTGCAGGAATGATTCTGCATTTGCGTGATTATATTCGCGCGTGCGTGCGTGCGTGCGTGTGTGAGTGAGTGAGTGAGTGAGTGCGTGCATGCGTGCACAAGTGTGTGCTGTAAAGTGTGACATTTTTACCATTCCACACTTGTATGTTTCTTATTTTTTCTTTTCTGGCTCCTGCAGCCAGACTGCCTTTTTTAATGCTAATGCATTTGGATGCTGCCTTGCATTAGCCCCACCAGGGTACCGTTTACAATTGAAGAGTTTGGTTCCAAAATGACATATCCAACATTCGAAAACAAAGTCACACCTACTTTTACAAAATGATGGGTAGCTGAGACAATTCCTGTCAGTGTTTGACACATTCTAAAGTAGCTTAAATCCACGGTTTACAAAAGGAAGAAGACAGAATTGATCACCTAAACTTTAATTCTTTTTTTTCTTGTATATGGATAAGTGACATTTTGGAGATGAACCCTTCATTTGCCCGCTATGAGCTACTCTTTGTTCCCGTCACCACATTAGTGGTTTGAAAACTCTTTTCTGAAAGGAATAGTTTTCAAATTAACTTTCTCGCCAAAGGTTAGATGAAGTTTGATATCACTTTTATGTCTCTAGGCCAAATATGAAGCTACAGCCAGAAGCCTTTTAGCTTAGCTTAACTTAGCTTAGCAAGCGGTTTCCTCCTGTTCCCAGTCTTTATGCATAACCAACCATCTCCTGGCTCTACTGTCTAGCTGCCAGTTAGCTTAGCTAACCGCTGAGTTAGGGTACGGACTAGCCAGGCTAGCCGTTTCCCCTTTTTTCCATTGTTTCTGATAAGCTAACCTGGCTTTAGCTTTATACGTAGCATGCATATGTCACAGTGGTATCAATTTTGTCACGTAACTCTTGGCAAAAAAAAGAAAATAAGCGGTTTTCCCAAAATGTCAAACTATTCATAAAAGCACCTACTTCGTCCCATATGATACTCTCCCTTCCTCTATGTCAAGTGTCTGTCTTGGAAGCATGAAAATGAACGTTACGCAACTCAAATTAACCAAAAGAAAGAAGTAGAAAAGTATTTCACAAATTATTATATTGTTGAGCTGAGCTTGGTGCGGCAAAGAGTTTGTCCACAGAGATCACTGAGTGTTGAAAACACTTCCAAATAAGTCATTGTGTTAACAAAAAGAGGGAAAGTTAAGCACTTTAAGGCCTTTTCAGGTAAAGAATGAAAGAAAAGAAATGGCAGCCGTTCAGTTTGGATCTGATCGCAGGGCTGATGAAACTATCTGTGATGTCTTCTAGTTCATTGGACAATCACACTGGGGATTCCAAACTTAGAAAGTCTGGTTTGATTTGAACCCTGACCGTTGTTATTGCTTACAAATGACTTCAGCACGATGGAATAGTTATTCGTAAATCTATTCAACATGCAAATCAATGTCGCATCCCAAAGCCCAACGTAAGGCCGGGACACTTTGTTGTCTATTTCAGTGCAAGGCAACACGAGGGATATGTATGAGGGAATTGCATCTTTTTACTTTGTGCCTGCATGGCGTGTTACTGACTGACTTAATGAGAGCAGCGTAAAAACTTCAGGATTGGACCCCTGCTGTGTGTGCGTGTGAATATTGCATTTGGAGAAGGCACTGAGTAATGATTATGCATGGCAAACAAAAAAGAGCTGAATGTGAGTGGAAATGTTTTCTGTTTTATAGAAATCACTTTCACAACCCTGATGACATTGAAAGATTATATTGAAGCTATGCTTCTTGTATGTGGAGGTACTGAGATGTCACATATATGTCATATATATATATATATATATATATATTATACACATAGTTTGATTGAAAAGCTTTAAAGTGTTTGTTTTTCGAAGTGTATGATGAAATGGATTTTTTTTTTTTCAGATGCTTGATGCTTTTTTGGCTTTAAAAATTGCAAAGCTTCTCATACCGTTCTTCAAATACTTGATTGGGTTGGTTGCGCTCTCCAATTCTGGTTTTATTGACTTTTACGGACCAATTTTTTTCTTTTTAATTGATCTGAGCTACGACCTCACAGGTGACACCTGTCTTCACAGTTATCAGAGTTACACAAATGATTGTACGACTGCTAATGCTGCTCAGCTGTGGAGACAGTTCTGGTTGCCGCCGTGTTTTAATGACTTGTGCGCTGCATCGACTGTGTTAATTGGCATTTGCCACCCATACAGCTCAGCACTGGCAAACGGCATCGATTGACACTCAGACACAACCTGCTGAGAAGTGACCACTGATCAAACACATAGCAAATGTTCCTCTTCGAGTGTGTCTTGGAAAAAAAAACATGTACTGGTGTAGTTCTGCACAAAGAGAATTCCACTGTTTGTTTTCTTTGTCTTGTTTCTTTTTTCTTTCTTTTTTTAGAAAATGTACTGATCTTCTCTAGAGAGACTTTTAGTGAAGTAATTTCTACGAGAGATGAATATACTGTAAGCATATGTTGTGTATATCTGCAGTGTGTGCACACACACACACACACACACACACACACACAGACAAAGGAATCCAGCCTGCGCTGCGCGTAGGTTTTGACTTGCTGATGACTTTGCCTCATAGAGACTGAAGATAAAAGTGGCTTTCTGGTTCATGTGAAGTAGAGAATGGAAGTATGAATAAAAATATATATATAATATATACAAACGGTGTTGCCATTTTTGGAGACTTTCTTATACTTTATTTTGACAAATCATTTTTTTAAAGTTCTGAATCTCACATATTTAAAGTTGTATTCGTTAACAACATGGTATGTTTGACCTCAGGAGACTTCACGGTATTACAGAGGAAGATCAACAAGGCACCAAGATAAAATATTCATCTCTTACTGCAAGTGAAAGCTATGATTCTAATCCAGGTCTTTAATCCTAAAAAGCATAAGACTGAAACCAGTCTATGTAAAAAAATTAAATGTTAAACATAAAAAAAACACAACAAAATTCTCAGTGTGATCATGTTAATGTGGAAAATTCCTTTCCTAAGGTATCCTGCAGTTTTAGTTTTGAAGAGAACATTTCAGATGCTAATCCTTCGAGGAGATGCTGCCTAAGACACGAGGAATGGTAACCCATGAAATAGGATATGTCACTGACTTAAAAGGGCAAAGCCAGATGTTTTTCCAGATTTTTTTTTATTTATTTCCCAAAATGAACGTGTTCAGCATTCCTCCGCGTCCTGAAGGCATGAAGCTGAACGCCAGCAGACGGAGACAGAGTGATAACTTGATTCCACATTGCACAATGAGGTAACAACATACCATTTTCTGAAAAGAAAAACACAAATGGCTGATGCAGATCCATAGATTAGGCCCATTAACCCATACGGTGCCTTCCACGGCGTCTTTCATTTGCAACATCTGTATGTTTTTAGAATACTCAGTGACACAAAGGTCATTGCCATCTATTGTTACGCCTTATTTCACTAGTTTTATTCTGATTATTGCTGCACTCTTTACTTTATTGCTACACGGTGTCCGTGAGTCCTTCCAGGATACCCCCCCCCCCCCCGCCAGTCTATCACTCCACTCCCAAAAATAACCTTCCCCTGAAACGGTCCATTAATCCCGGACCACCACGGGAAAAAGGGTGAGGTCGACGCGTCACTGCAAAGAATCAAGGGGGATGGGGCAACGTCACGCGCAAGCAATGCACAGCCCCTCGCGTTCCAATGAAGCCCGGAATTGGGTCGCAAAGGAGGGGAGGGGGGGGGAGGAGGAATGACTCCCACTTTTCTCTCCGTGGCTGGTCGCAGAGGGGCGGGGGCTCCGTGCTGCGTTTGACAGCTGCGAAATAGAAAAATGTACCGCTCCGAAGCCACCGCACTAACGCCAGGCGTCGGGGATGCGGCGTGGCTCTCCGTAGCCAGCGAATGCGCCGCTAAAACTGCGCAAAATTGGAGAGCGCAAACTCCGCCGGAGAGCGGAGCGGGGCGGCGGCGGCGGCGGCGGGAGGGGGGGAGTCTGTTTCTTTTCTTGTGCACAGAAGTGCGGGATTTCGGGACGGGTTGCGCGATGCATCGCGCCTTCTCGTTCCCGGCGACTTCGGAGCGCAGCCGGACCAAGGAGCGCCTGGAGGCGAGTCTGTCCGGGCTGTGCGAGCTGGAGCTCCGCAAGCAGAGGCAGGAGTGCCTGGTGCTGGGGGCGCTGGCCCTGGGGGGCCCTCTGCTCGAGGGCCGCGCCGGAGGAGAGCTGGCGGGGTTCAGCAGCTGGGGGCAGGAGAACTTGACACTGAGGCGCCAGCTGGTAAGTAACTTTTTTGAGGCGTCCTTTTTTTTCTCTCCTGCGTGTTCGGATGCCAGCGGACTCGCCCCGTTGTGTGTGTGTATGTGTGTGTGCGTGTGTGTGTGCGCGTGTGGGTGGGGGGGCATTCCGTGCTCCTACATAGTTGTGAATACATCGGGCCGAGACGGCGCATCCTGACCGTTACTTTGACTCTCGGGCCGCGCTGCGCCTTTTGTCTCGCGGTGACCTTCCTCTGCGAGGGGGGAGGAATAAAAATGGAAACAAAGTTACTCAACTTGATTAATGGCCCCTCTGTTTGAAATGATGCGTTTCGGTGCTCGGGCTGAGATTTCTGCGTGCGGGTAACGAAACCAGGGGGTGGAGCGCCCGCCGTTTGTTCCACGGAGCGACTCTTTAATGGCCCATTGTTCCCCCATCACGGACTTGTGTGGCTTTTACCACGTAACACGCTCTTATTTGCGCCCTCCGAACATCATAAAGGAATGAATTATGTCTTCTGCTCTTCCAAACTAACATTTGTACGTCAGAAGTACCCTCCGGAGAATTGATGAGGTGGCTTATTTTTTTTTCTTTTTCTTATGTCGGGCTCGTGCGAAGTTGCGCAAAAACATTTTTTTTCCCCGAGGACTAACATGAGCATAAGAAACCGGGTCAAACGCAGACGAATGCAACTTTGGCTGACGGCGCCACCATCTCCAGAAAGTTCCACGCACCAATAAGCCCCGTAAATCGTGTTTGTCTCTGTGCGTATTTCTCGCATTTCTCGTCTTGCCGTCTGAGCATCGCCGCGATACGAAGCCGTTATTGATGAGGGTTAAAAAACGAAATGAAACCAGTCGCCTCCTCTTCACACCTCCTTGTCTCCTCCCTCCTTGTCTCCTCCGCCGGGGGTCTAACAATAGGCGCATGTGGAGCAGAATACTAATGAGTCCAGATAAGGGTCGCGGGCGGCCTTTATGGTTATGGGATAATCACACGGCCCCTGTGGTGTATTTTGGATTTTGGCCTTTGGTGATTGCTCAACTTTTTCCTGTAATGTCCAATGAAAAACAAAGACTGTCTTCATTTGAAAGCCCCCCCCACCTCCTCCTCCTCCCACAGGACTGCACATGTTCTCGTTTTCTGCAAACTGATGTTTGTTATCTGTTCTGCTCACCCGAGCATGTTAGTAATTACACGGCGGGGGGTGGAGAGAATCTATTTTATTCTTATTGAAGTCTCAGATTGAGTCCTCATATCAGGTCACCATCTGCGTTCCGTGACCAAATCCCCGATCTCATTTACCACGTGGATTAAAGTCCCCCAAAATGCTCAGTTCACAGTGGGATCGTCCTGTGGGCCTGCCGGCGCTCGCCATGAACGCGAGACGGGTCTGACCGGCCTGTATTTTCCTCCTGGATACGGTTTGTTTGGTGTTGACAGCTGTGGGACGCCAGACAGCAGCTGGGAAAGCACGAAGCTCAGACCTCCCTCCCGGCGACCTACTGCGCACGTTTGAAGCGAGTGGAAGAGAATGCATGAATTGTGTATGAGTGTATGACATGCAAATCATTGTGGGGGGGGGGCGCATTTTTTTTGTTTTTAGAACCCCCACCCCCCCCTCCACCCTCCCTCGGTGGATTCAAATCAAGATTGGGATCATCATCTGTGCATGTGTGTGTATGAAACTGGTGCAGCATGCATGTGTCTGCAGTATGTTGTGCTTTAGTCTTGTGCCTTTGCTGAACCGCTCGTGTGTGTGTGTGTGTGTGTGTGTGTGTGTGTGTGTGTGTGTGTCATTAGTGAGTCTCCTCAGCAGAGGCCGATCGCTGGTGCGGATCACTGGATGGTTTCCTCCGCTTTTGTGCTGCCACACAAAGACAAAAAGGGAACCCCAAATGTCTCGGCGTTATTCCACATATATATGCACCTATAACTCATACATGCATTTGAAATAGTATGTGCACGAGTACACACAATGCACACAGACTACGTACACGCACATAGTCTGAGCCGGTCCCGCACGTGAGCTTAGCCGGGGCGCGCGTCTCTTAAGAGACTCCATTCACAGCCCACCCGCCCGGGTGCACGCAGGACGGAGTCAGGGGGATGCTAATGAACGCCATTCGCCGCACGTATGTCAACACTGGGAGCACCTCTGTGTCAACATCTGTCGAATTAGAATTCATCATTCAAATTTCATTCCTATTAACAGAGCACATTTATGTGTGTGTGTATGTGTCTATCTGAAGAAAGAAGGGGTCAGTAGTTTAGTCGAGCAGTTTAACTGGCGGCATGGTGTCTAGTATTTGTGTGTGTGTGTGTGTGTGTGTCTCTGGCCTCACACAGCCTTCTCTGTGTGGAGCCAGTCACAACATTGCTTCAATTATAGAGGGTCCAGCAGTGCTGCTTCATGCCTCATGTGTCCGTATGTTTTTATATCCTGGGCTGGTCGTTTTTTAAAACCAGCGACTCGTTGGGGGTTTATTCCACGGATCAAAACCCTCTTAGAACAACCAGCCTCTGTTGTCCTCATGTCGAAAAATGATACCTTTATGTTGCTGAGCTGGTTAGTATTAGGTTAGTATTGGTGTGTAACATCTCTACGGCTAGGTGAGTCTGTCTGCACAGGGTCCTCTTGTCTCCCCCCCCAGCAGCCGGGAGCAGGGACGGAAGAGAACAGTAACGCTACAGTGTGCAGCGTGTCAGGGAACCAGTGTGAGGCCATTAATAATGGAGAACAATCAAAAGCCTCGCTTGCAAAGAATGCTCCCCAATACAATATGAACCTACTCTGAGACGCAACTACTAAATGTTGTGTTGTGTTTGGTTTGTTGGTGCACAAGGGTTTGTTTGTTTCCTTCACCATTATAATTTAATCACCAGCTCCGTTGCCTCCTCCCGTTTTTCGGTTGGAGGGGCGCGGCCACAAAACGGGCCGCAAGCAATCAATAATGTTAATTCGTGTCATTGATGAATTGATTCCCAATGGTCTGCCCTACTCCCAGATTTCCCCCCCGACGCCACACCAGCAGCTTAAAACGACGCTCCCCGCTCTCGACTTCATGCCACACAAAAAACCTCATTGATGCAGTTATGCTAATGCGCGGTTCACATCAGACAAGAGGCACTCTTGCGGAGACAAAAGAAAGGGCCGTGTTTTGGGGTGAAGAGGTCGCGTCGGTAGCGTAGGTTAGCGCGGGTCGATTGCGCCTCGATGAAGCGTTTGCATTACGGCGCGCAGGACAAAGGAGTCAGAGCCCGAACACACTGACAGATGAGCACCGGGTGGCGATGTGCTAGTTTCCTGCACAGGCCGAGGTTGTTTTCTCTGGACACGGGCACCGTTTTGAGGCGACGGCCGCACGCACGTGTTTAGGACATTGTTCAGAGCGTTTGCCTGTATTCTATTTTAACGCTAGTATCAGGTCACAAGCCACAGTACTGGACTGATGATTTCACCAGACGACGGGCCGGCAGCTCACTTGAGGGATTAGGGTTCATCCTGAGGGGAAATGTTTTTACCAAATTACATTTATCCCCCCCCCCCCAAAAAAAGTATTACCCTCACGATGACACCAGTGGAAAGGTCAACAAACCTCATTGATTCCAGCTCAAACATGAGTGCCTTCACCAAATGACGCAGTAATTCATCCAATAGTGCTTGAGACCCTTCTTCCTCTTCTTTTTCTTCTCAAGCAAAGCATTATATTTTGTTCCTCTAATGCTAAATCGGCGTTTAGGATTCAGTGCTACGAGCTCACAATTATTTAATTCCATCTTTAGTTTTTTTTTTGCTGTGTGTTTCCGGCGGTGACAAATAACATCTTCTAGGCCACTTTCACACAGACCTGATGGATGTTTCCCCATTTAATTGGTTTGTGTGACAAAAAAAAGAAAGGAAGAAAGAAGTATTATCCTCGCGGTGTCACCAAAGGAAAGGTCGGGGGTCACCGCTGTCAACACCCCGTTTTTTTTTTTTTTTTTTTTTTTTTAAATCACAGAAATCCATCAAACAGCAGTTACGATATTTCATCCTGGACCAAAATGCTGGTCGTGCTAAAAGTATCTCCATGACAAATTGCTTTTTAGAATAATTTCGCAACAGCTGTTTTGCACATTTGCACACAATGGGACCTTTCTTCATTTCTGTAGGCAGCGTTTTATCGCCACAGACACGCCGCGTTACAGAGACGGTGCTCACAGTGCAGAGGACCGTACCGGTTGTCTGGTGCTCCATCATCGCAGGTTTGTGATGTAGAAAGTGTCACCTTGTGGCGAGGACGTGCTCAATCTTCTGCTAATGAAGAGTCTTAATGAGCCTTCAGTGTCCACAGCGTCCCCTCCAACAAAAAGCGTATATGTAAAATACACATACAAACGTGTGTACGCGTGTTTTACCCGTCTTGTGGGGACATCGACCTCGTTCAAGCAGTCACACTGTGGAGTGTCTCCCTGGTTTTGATGAGAAATTGTGGACAAATTGCACGTACCGTAACATCCTAGAGTATGTGTGTGTGTGTGTGTGGCTTTGTGGGTGAGAAAGACCCTCCCCCCACCCTTTACAGGCGTTAAATCATTGATGTTCTGACTCGGGGGCCCAGTGACAGACATGGATGCACAGTGGTCACCTGCAAAGTCCGCTTTTGTGTTTTAGTAACCGGTGAAGGGGAGTTGTGTCATTTTGTGTTTTATTTTTACAAACGACACAATTCCAATGATTCTTTTTTGCTCGTCAGGTTGAAATACATCTTTGGGGATGAGGTGACTGCTCGTTGTATAAATGTTGTTATGTTGACAACATAAGACAACCTCTGCTGATAGTTGTGTACTTTACACACCATTTATTCAATTGTTTAACGCTATTCAAATATAACCCGTCCACCTATAATATAAAACCCTTGAGTTAGCAAAGGACGCACAATTTAGTGACTCATTAGCGCTTCTGCAAACCAGTCGATTTATCGCAAAGAACTTCTTGCTTTGTTGAAATACCGACACTAACAAAAACGGCCTGTCTGTGTGTGTGTGTGTGTGTGTGTGTGTGTGTGTGTGTGTGTGTGTGTGTTTCAGAGTGCCCTTCAGAGCACCCCATGGGGCCTGATGCAGGCGCTGGAACAGCAGGTGGGGGAGCTGAGGTTCGAGGCGGAGGACGGCGGCCATGATGGCGCTCAAGCTGAAGGAGGCGACAGTCGGCCGAGTTCTGGTACGGCCACAGATCTAAAGCTCCTCCCTTGTAAATAAGCACTGTTATTTCAATAAAGCCCCCGAGTGTATCTCTTAACAAAACGTCTTCACACTCGCTTGTAATGAATTTTTAATGTTATTTCTGCTTTTATACGTCCGTGCTCCACTTGCTTGTTCTTTAGTTTTGTTGCATGTTTGTCGTGACACTTTGTGCATAACGAAAGAAATGGAATGATAAGTCGCTGTGACTCTCTTTCTCTAACCACATTTCCGTAGGTTTTTATGAGTCAAGTGAGGGTCAATCGCCTAAAGGGAGATCTTGTTCCACAGAGTCAACAGAGCCCGTTTCCTCCTGGACTTACACCAACGACAGGCCAAAGTCTGTGGGTAAGAGATCCAGACAGCCTCAAGCGTACGACTACACACAAAACCTTCTTGTTCTGATGCTTAAGTGAAGCCACACACATGTTTGTGTTGCATTTTAGTCTTTGCGTGATCAATCATTTACCTCTGAATCACAGCATGTATTCATCACCTTTTTTCCCCCCAATATCAAGAGAAGAAGGCAGATGTGTTTTCCTTCGATGTTGTCTATTCTCCAATAATCCATAGACATTAATAAACATGGACGCAGCATGTGGTTTATTTTGCGATTGGATTTGTCGTTGCCGCCCTATGCGTGAATCAGGTGTAATTGTTTTATAAGAATAAATATTCCATTTAATGAAAACATTAAATGGCCCTAAAACGTTGTAGAATAACAACTGACCTCACACTGAAGTGTCTGCACCGTGCAAACACTTAATGTGTATTGTGCTATAATAATTATGCCCCTGCACGCTGACTCACAACTGCATTATTTCCGGTTATCAGGAGACCCCCTGATGCTGAACGGAGGACAGGACGCGCCCGTCCCACGCGCTGCCCTCCCCCGCTCTTTCTCTGCCCCTTACCCGCCCCTGGAGGGCATCGCCGAGGAAGGCGGGGCGGGGGAGTCGTGGCAGTGGGACGCCAGCGGGGCCTGGCAGCAGCAGCAGCAGCCGGCGGAGGATCAGGTCACGGAGGAGGACTACCAGCTGGCTTTGAGGGTCGAGGGTTACATCCTCGGCCTCATCCAGCGCTACACCCTCCCGCCACGGCCCTGTCAGCCTCGCACCACCCTGAGCCCCGACCCCCAGTACTCCGCTGCCTCCGGGCACGGCTCCCTACACAGGAGAACTCCTTCTCTCACCACCGAGCAGCACTTTCCTGACCCCCACTTCCAGCCCCACGTTGACCTTTCGGCAAACCCCAAGGGCCAGGGTTGGGGTTGTGACCTCCAGGAGGGGGAGGCCTGTGGAGGAGAGGCCCCATCTTTGGAGGAGGACTGTTATCTTGCTCTGCCCTACCCCCAGTCCAGGTCGCAATCCCTGGCCGAGAGGCTACAGTCACCTCTGCCCTCCCTGGACCCCAACTGTGGTGCCGGGGCGCTTGACTTTTATTGTGAGCCCCCATCCCCCCAGCATTACTTGCATCCACAACTCCCCCTTCATCCCAAACACAATTTAGTGAGTGCTCAGTACATCCCCGGGCAAGCCTGCCACGCCCCTGTGCGCTCCCCCAGACACTACAACCCGGAGCAGGCGAAGCCCAATCGCGCTGTGGCCTCTCCGGACCACCCGAAGTCCAGAGCTTCCAAGAAGAGCCACAACGAGCGACAGAGAGCCAAGAAATCGGGCAGCAAAGCCAGCCGATCGCAGTCGGAAAACAGCCTGCTGGGCCAGCGGGTGTTGCCCGAGCGCAGGTACAGCACCACCGAGAGGCACCAGGGCCGAGGGGACCCCTCCCCGAGCCGGGGCCACGCCGCTGGACGGCAGGCGGGCAGCACCGGCGACGGCGGGAGCCGGCGCTGGTGCTCCAACCTGGAGCTCAGCCAGGACGAAGGGGAGGCCGCAGCGGGGCAGTCCCAAAGACGCCCGCCACGAAAGGTTCGCCCCGGCCCTCCGCCCCAGCCCCAACACCAGAACTACCAGCAGCACGGCCAGCGCTGGCACCCCGACTACCAGGAGACAGCCCCTCTCTGCCGTGGAGAGGAGGGCTACGCCGCCGCCGCCGCCGCCGCCCCCCCCGTTGAGTCCGAGTCCAGCATGAGCGAGGTGTATTCGCCGGCCTCCAGCTCGCTGTCCAGCGACTCGGACGGCAGCGGGGGGCTTGTGTGGCCCCAGCAGCTGCCGCCGCGCCTCGCGTCCACCTCCTCCTCGTCCTCGCCGTCGCCACAGGCGGTGGCGGCCAACGCCTCCTCTCAGCCGAAAGCCTTCGTGAAGATCAAAGCCTCCCACGCTCTCAAAAAGAAGATCCTGAGATTCCGCTCGGGGTCCCTCAAAGTCATGACGACCGTGTGAGGAAATGCTCACATCAGTGCTTGAACCCGTGAGCTTTTCTACTGTGTTTTAAAGCCATTGCCCGAGCAACGCTGTGGCGAATACTCGTGGTCGCCCGTCATTTGTTAACTAACCAATCCGGCTTTGACGCGCTGCCTACCTCGAGAGACACTTTTACTTAAATGCGATTTAAAGATCTGCCAGAGATCATTTGGTTGAATTTATCTGGTAGGTGACAGCAATAAGACACGAGACTAATGAGCATCGTTCTGCTCTAATTGATGATCATTGGTGTCTGAATATTCTGCCATTGCTTCAGTCTCGATGCCTGTTGGCCTCATAGTTAATTCATCATGATGTGTGGTTAATTAATGAATTAAAAGCTAATAGGTACGTTGTCAAAAGCTTCAAGTCGTGCTAAACACCAAAGCTCTAGAAATGACGCTGAAGTATTTTATGGTACATTACACTTTTATCCAAAGCGACTTACATTACGTTTTTAACGCATGGCTTTTTACATTTTTGCCCGGGGAGCAATTAAGGCTCAGGGACACTTCGACATGGAGCAGCCGGGGCTCAAACTGCCAACCTCTCTACCCCAGCGCCACCACGACCCTCCTCACGACGATGGTACTGACCGTTTTAAAGACATTTGGGTCGATTCAATTCGGCCAAAATTTCCCACAAATGTCCTTGAAAACGTCCTGGAAAGAACTGTGTAATTTGGATTAATTAAACCCAAGGAATTATCAATAGAATATTCATTGGTATGGTTCATTAGAATATTCACTTGCTGTGCACTGAATAGACGCCTGTAGTCACCACTAGATGATTGGAGTGTATCGTTTAAAACCGCCTATTTCACATCTGTCCTACATAGTTCTTTCCAGGAATTATTGGGTCTACAGACCCATGAAATAAAGTTCTTCTAAAAATAATACTTCAGTGTGTGGTGGAAACTCGAAGCTTTAGAGTAATGATTTATCTTGAAATATAGAAAAAATCAATGTTATTTGTGAAGGATTGAACTAATGTGTAATAGAACAAATCTATGTTTACATTTGGTTCTCACGCAGTCTCAGAATCGGTGGTCTGATTGTTCTTCTCTCAGGAGGGAATATCCACGTTGTTCACAGGTACTTTGTGCTGCAGGGACCAATGTGCATCAGAGTAGAAGCCATACTACATGCATGCATTCACGCACATATGTTTAAGTGCACGTATTATTGAAACATATTTACACAGGATTGGACACACTTGTAAATATGTGTGTTTCTGTATATACCATCACGTGGCCTTGTTTGGAATGAATGTAGTTTGTAAATAAAGGCTTTTTGGTAGCTAAGCACATTTCTTCCGTTTTTTTATTTTATTTATTATAGACGGGTGCAAGATCAATTTAAGACATCATACATTAACATAAGTATACATCAGGTAAAGGGTGTAAAAGAAAGAAAAGACTTCCGCAGACGTGCTTGGTGGAATTGAATTGAGGCATCCAGCGAGAATCAGGTTTAGAGTGTAGCTCCCTCTTGTGGTCCGTGCATGCAAGGCTACTGTTACACAAGAGGACAAGGCAGAGTATTTTACTGGTAAGTGATGTAGAAGAAAATATGTTTTAATCGTGTATAATAAGACGTATAAAACATCTAATTTCAAATGGAATTGCTCCTAAACAACGGCTGACATCATCCTTGAGGAGGAGGAATAAAGCAAATGGTTGTTGAGCCATCGCAGGAAATGTTGCGCAACAGATATGCAATCCTGAGGCAATCACAAAAACATCTTTGCATGTCATTCAACTGCATCATCAAAACTCTGCACGTGCAACCGTGTTCTTTCCATGAAGTTGTAATTGTGTCACAAAGGTCATCGCTTGGGTCATCAAAGTCACCGCAACTTCACATTTTAGTCGCCTCCTTTTGGGTGCTGGAGCTCTTGGTGTCGTTGGTGGCGACGCTCGTTCGGGTCGCCGGGTCCTCGCTGATGAACTGCAGCAGGCCGCGCACGGAGCGGTTCATGCTCTGCTTGAAGCCCCGGCCCAGACACACGTAGAGCAGCGGGTTGAGGCAACTGTTGAAGTAAGCCAGGCACAGCGCCAACACGTGTGCCAGGTAGAGCCGGGGGCTGTGCGCCGAGCTCCGAGGCACCGTCAGCAAGAGGAAATCCACAATGTGCAGCGGGAGCCAACACAGGAAGAAGCTCAGCACCACGCCCACGACGACTCTCAGCGTGCGCTTGGAGCGCGTCCGGCCCCTCGACAGTCCGCTCTCCGCTCTGCTGTACACCACCAAGTGGCACGCCACGATCACCGCGAAGGGGAGGAAGAAGCCCACCGCGAAGCGGTAGGACGTGACCAGCCAGGCGCTGAGTAGAGAGTACAGGGTCACGCACTCCCGCTTGTCCTGGCCTGCGTTGATCTGCCTGGTGTAGACGAACTGGGGGGCGCTGCCCACCAGGGCCAGGCACCACACGGCGACGCACACCCAGACGGCCTTCCTGGGACGCCGGTTGTTCTGGCACCAGACGGGTCTGCTGACCAGCATCCAGCGATCCACGCTGATCACGACCAGCTGCAGGATGCTGCAGTACATCACCATGTAGAACAGGCTTTTGACCAATGTGCAGGCCAGCGGGCCGAGGGGCCAGTGGTCGTCGTGGGCCAGGGGGACCATGAGCAGAGGGAGGGAGAGGCAGCACAGCAGGTCCACCAGCGCCAGGTTGAGGAACCAGAGGGAGGTGACGGAGCGGGGCATGCAGAACCCCGTCACCCACACCACCACGGCATTGCCGGGGACACCCAGCAGGAACACGAGGCAGTAGAAGAGCAGAGCCGCGATCTGGATCGGTTGGATCTCAGGTCTCAACGTGTCTGGAATATCGGGCAGCGTGTAGTTATAGTCCAAGTCAGTTGAATTAAAGTCCCAGTAGTCATCGGTGTAATACATGGCTGGTGGAAGCTGAAAATAGAAATGTGGTCAAATATTACAACAGGCTTTACAGTCCAAGAAACATATTTTATGTGAATTAGGATCAGGAATCAGGAAAAATGTTACCAAAATATGTCAGACATTTAAGGAATTTGACTTGGTGCTTAACAGCAGACGGTTGGACAAGACAGATAAGACGACATAGTGCAAGAGGAATAAAATAAAATATAATGATATGGGTTAGTATATAAAGCTATGGGTTAGTTTAAAAATAACGGAATAAAAGTTAAATAGTTAAAAATGAAGTGCACCAGAAAGAAATTAACTTTAACTATAAGTCCTACATAAATCCAACAAAATAATAACAGATGATAAATTCGAGGTGTTTAGTTAAATTATCTTATAAATAATATCCAGTTCCAATTAAAAAAAACACTTACGGTTTCAGTGGCCTGTTGCAGCGTCACTGCTGAAAAGAACTATGAAGTCCTTCTGCTTTCTGCTGCGTGATATAACCTTGCGTACACCCCCCATTGCACAATGTACTTTTTTCTTTTTAATCTAGAAACTCATCATATTTACAACAGAAATAACATTTGAGCACTCGCTCATCTTGCAAACAGACTCTTTGGAGTAATTTGCATCCCGTTAGAATGAAATTGATTGACACAAAAGCAAGTTTATTCAGTTTGAAAGAGTTTGTAGATTGTTTTCAATATCATTTTCACATTTCAAATAATTATCCTGTATTAATGTATTTAACAATTATTGCTGTATTTATTCAAACGTCCTCAGCAACAAAAAACTATTAATACGCATTAGTGGGACAAATTACTTTATTGATAAATTCCAGATTCTATTCTATTATGTCACAAAATGTTTCCATATATACAAGTTATTCACAAATCAGCCTAAACAGAAATGAGTATCATAACACAATTACAATTCTCGACGGTGTCTACAACTGTTAATGAAAAGCTACCAGAGCTGCCGGACCTTTGGCGGTTCAACCTGGATGAAAACAAACTGGATGTCCACTCCCACTTCCAACAAAGACTGTGACCGGTGATTCTGGTAACATTGTGGAAATTGATCATCCCAACGTTAGTCAGTATTTGTCACAATGAGTAGTACAACCAACGGATGTGGTCCTTTCAAAATGCTCCAAAGATTCATAACAGCAGCAAGTGGATCGAGGGCAGCACCTAATACACAATAAACTGAAGCTATAACCAGGTAAATGTCCTCTAAAGCCGCCTATGGGGTCAAGATGGTGACTCCGAGCAGCAGGTTTAATAATAAGGTTGAGGGAAGTGTAGATTAACAAAGCACAAACTAAAGAAAACCAGCGGGATGTTTGGGTTTAGTTCCATGACATCAGAGAGCCCTTAAAAACCACGAAATAAGGGAAATGAAACATAAAGTTACAACGTCAGCAAAGGTTTTCTTAAAAGTAGAAAAAAAATCCCTGCCTCCGCAAATATGTCTCTATTCTTTTGGCTGCAGACACATGTGCATCTTCATATAAATGCGAACATACACATTGAATTGGCGTGCAGCTGTTTCTTGGGGTTTGACGTCTAAAACATAATTTGAGATTGGTGTTTTCCTCATCAATGCAGGTTTTTCAGCTCCATCTTTTGCATCGTCCCTCCCTGTCAAACTGCGGGATGTTTCGTCATCGGCCCATCAAGGAGGATGTTTCCTCACCGGCTCCCCCCCCCGAGTCAGTTGAGGGCCGGAGCGCTGCTCGGTGGGAGGGTGGGGGTGTCGTCTCTGAACGCGTCGGACTGAAGGTCTGCAAGGGAAAAAGTACACCGTCTTCATGCCGTGCCAAGCGGTGCCACACAAAACAGCGCACGTTTCGTACTTCCAGCAGTGACTCCCGTACAGATCCGCTGTCACTCTGATCGGGTTTCTGAGCTCTCGGCATTTCGAGAACTTTTGAAAACTGATGGACCCCTGAAACATGTAAACTAGAGATTTCATCAGACAATTAGATTGTTTAAGAAAATTCTCCTTGTTGTTGGCTATGCGACTCGTGTTTGTTGAACATTTTGAAAGTTTTAGCTGGAGTACGTGTGTGGATGGAGAAGACTACGGACTTTGGTTGACAATGGGTTGCTATGCGCACATACAGGATAAGATAATATAAGATAAACGATCATCTAATTCAATCGCACACTTCTGTTTCCCTCACAGAAATTTGCCATTTGGTTTGTGGAGGTTCTGTCACCAGCGTCATATCTGGGTTCACTTCCACACACACACACGTTTTCCCAGCAAGAATTGGAGAAGAGTGCAGGAATAATTGCTGACTGTGGGTGTTTATCTGGGTTTTTTTGGTTGAAAGTGCATTTTTAAATCACAGACAGAAACCGGAAACAATTCTGACGAAAGTCATTTTTAGTTTGGGGATTTTTTTATGATTTCTTCATCATCAGAGGGGCGCAAAGCGGAGACAACGTCATGTCCAACTCACCAATGAGCGTCATGCCGTGGTGCTCGTTCAGTATAACCGACGTCTCCTCCTCCTCCTCCTCCTCTTCTTCTCCCCAGTCTGCAATGTTGGCCGGAGGGATGCACTGCTCCAGGAACAGGTCCTCCTCGTCCTCCTCCATGTCCACGCTCTCCGGGGGCCAGCGCAGCTCTCCGCTCTCCACCTCGCTCAGCTCCGTGGGCTCCACCACGATGGAGGGCAGACGCTCCTTCACGTGGTCGAGGTCCAGCCTGTTCATGGTGGTTTCGGGGTCCAGGGCCACCTCGACGGGGTCCGGGAAGATCTGGAGGGCGGAGGCGAAAGAGATCACCGGCACATTGGTACTGCTTCTGTTTCACTCTCACGTTGACTGATCTTCCTCTTCTTTGTCCCACACACACTACATACTGGACTTATTGTGTCTGATGGGCTGCTGTCTATCTGTAGTGTGTATCTCGCTGTGAGTTTGGTGCCTTTTGGTTACAGTCTGGTGACATTACGTTAATGGGAAAGTACCTGGAATGATAACCGCCGGCCCTTCCTCTGCACGTCTTGGCAGTTTGCATCTCCGCTCGTCTCCTCCATGCATCTGCAGAGGAGAACAAAGCCAGAGACAGAGATGAGAAACAAACTGAATAGGGCCATTTTCACCGTGGAGACATTCTCCTTCTTTTGTCAATGTGAAGCCTGCAATGGGGAATAATTAATGATATTGTTATTTTATAAACCAAGGGGCCCCATAGTTCTGTACAAAGCACCTCACTCTAAATGAATCATATTCTTGGGTAAACCGTCGAACCACTAACATCTTCGCCACCAAATGAGGAATCCTTGCATGTCAAGAGATGGATCTCTGCCTCGTTAGAATAATCAAACAAACCCCAGAAATCCGCTGTGATTGACAGCCATCGGACTTCTTACATGGCCTTGCTTTTAGTCTGTCCGCCGTCCCTGTGAGCCTCCCACAGCACGCAGGAGGTCCGCAGCTGGACAGTGAGCGAGTGGCGCTGGATGAAATCAGTACATCCGGTTTTCTATGACCCCCCCCCCGCCCCCATCAAAGCTGAATTACAGTAGTATCAAAGCATCCGACATTCAGGCCGTGGATTGGTCGGAGATTTGTTCTGCCCCGCGCGTCACCGGGCAAAGCCGGTCTGAATATGTGTATTATGTGATGTGATATTCTGCTCTCAGATATTGGAACGCACTCATACTTCAGATTAGCTCGCACAGGGTCTGCTGCCAAAATGACCCTCTGTCGCTCATATTTTGCACGGAAAAATGCACGGTATTTTGGCGCTGTCAGCGCTCACAAAGAGCTGTGAGTCATAGAGGTGGAAGCTTCTTTTTTTAAGGTCATCTCTCAGTCCTTTAGGTCGTCTATCCGTTTTCAGTCTCAGCTTTCCTCCTGACCTGTTTCCCTTCATCCGGCTGTGTGTTGGGTCCACGGCATACAGTATCCGTAAAGTAGTCAGCTGTTTCAGTAACATGGATGAGCCGGTGCCAACATCCAACTTTAAATCTGTTTATGGTCTCCAGAAAAGCCGACGGGGGATTAAGAGGACTGAGGATCTGTTCGAATCCTCTTTTCATCCCGCTCTCTTTCTCTCGCTGTGTCTCGCTGTGTCTCCCTGTCCTTCCGATGCAAGAACCAATCGGGCCGGTTGTCATTGAGAAGCCTGTAGTTCAGTGGCTACATCTGTTAAATCTTGCTTACTCTTCAGTTGAGGGACAGATCTAATCTCCAGTCTTTCTGTATTTAGGCGTCGTGTACTTTTTGCTATTTGCTCATAGCAGCAGTCACATGCATCCGTGCTGCTCCACACTAAGGCCCCGATCAAGCAGCAGGATGTCACGTAGTAGAGGCTCTAGATTTACAAACCAGATTCCTTATATGTCAGTATGTGTGCCGGCTAGTACAGGGTAATACATTCTGATACAATATAGCTCGATGTACATGAGAGGAGACTAAATATGAATTTCCTTTTTCACGGCTGGCTCAATTTTCTGAAGGATGGCCATCAGAAAACGATGCGGAATTAATAACAAATGGTGGTTTGGTAAGGTTTGTATTTCAAAACACAACACAGATGCTGAGCAGCGGGAATTTTACATTTACTGACCCTAAAAAAAAATGGTATTGTCATCGGGAACATGTTAGCATGCCAACATTAGCATTACTCCAACATACTCATTTGGCTGCTGTGCTGGCAGCAAACTGTTCATCCTAAGATAAACCGCGTTCGTACCTCCACTCGGTGGAGTTATTTGCAATTTCACAAGTGTGTCTGACGGTTTGAGAAGTACAAGCTGATTTTTTTTCTGCCTAAATGTGACACAGTTTTGACTTCAACATCCTTGAGTTCCTTGTATTTTATTACAAATAAAGAACCGCTAAACCAGTTTGCATGAGCACCAAAACGAGAACGCCCTGTTCTCGTCTAAACGGGATCAGCTTTGGGAGGACGCTAGCGTTTTTTGACCCAGTTGTGAATGTGCGGCGCTCTACAATTCAATTTCTGATATTATGCTGCCGACAACTGTGCCACGCTAAGCTGTTTGTGTGGCCCCCCGGGATGGAAACTTTCATCTATTGTGATGAAGAAGCTTAACCTCCGTGTAATCCCTCTGGTATACACTTCCTCTAAACACCTGCACGTTTCGCCTCAACTGTCAGTCTTTGTATGAGCACACTGCTGAATTTTTAAAGCCACAGGTTCACCGTAATTTGAATGTAATGAGGGAGAGGAAATTGTGGTGGAAGTGTGAGACATTTGTGATAATAAACTAGATGGAGAAGATATTTCTGTGCTCACTTTCTTTTCCATTCAGTCAGAAATGGGGAGAAAAATTAACCTCCAATTCATAAAAGAAACATCTCATGAAAGGTGTCGCAGCACATTGTTCTAATGCAATGAATTAAATTAGATGCAAAACCAATCGTGTGGATTGTGTTCCGTAAACTGCTGTATATTTACTATATCATCCTTATGATCAGAACATACACACTTTACTCTCTTTAGCTTTAAGAGCAAACTTTTGTTGTATTCGGCTTAGATTATGTTGCGTAAAATAAGGGGCCTTCCCACCAGGGAAAAAAACATTAGCTCTGTAGTGTGTGTAATATTTGTGCCTTAAATACACACACACACACATACATTTCAGCACCCTCTTACCCCTCACTTGCAGTCAGGCAGATGTCCCCATCTTGGCACAGCCTCACGGTGGTGAAGCCCGTCTCCTCCACGATGAGTACAGGCGACACTCGGGGGGGCCCGGGAGGAGGCGAGCGGCTCCCACAGCATTCCCCCTCCGCAGAGGCCTCAAGCAGGCTTTTGGCCTCCAGGGCGAAGCCTGTGTAAGGTGGGGGGTAAGGAGGAGGGAGGACGGGGGAGGAGGGGGGGGCGTCCTGGACCCTCAGATGTCCCGGATGTTGAGCAGAGGTTCAGGACGCGGTCGCCTGCCCGGTTTTCCTATTTCCGTTATGGGACAGCACCCGTCTCACTCGTCCAGCTCCGTGCCGAGTCCGTCCGCCGTACCAGAGGCTGCATGCGTTCCTGTGTCCCCTGCTTCCAACTTCCTTCCTCATGTCTCGCTCAGTATCCCTCCTCTGTCCCCCACCCCACCCGACTGCCAGGCTTTGGAGAGCAGCGGGATTAATGTCTCTTTCGATTACAGAAGCTGGATGGGTGACGTCAGCCGAGCCCGACGGTCCCCTTTGATGAGTTGGCACACCGGGTGGCTGGTGCATCGGTAATGAAACATACGGAGAGCACAGAACATGAGCACATGGCACATAATAAGGCAAAATGGACAAGGGTGAATATTGGCCCCGTTTTGATATGAGCTCGTTTCTATTTCTCCCCCCATCCATGCAATCTCTCTCTCTCTCGCTCTCTCTCTCTCTCTCTCTCACTGAGTGTTTGTGTCCCTAACTGTGTGCCGCTGCTTCATCAGTGGATTTAGATTTGGACAATTCGTGGGATTAGCCCAGGGATCGAGGGCTCAGGGTTGGTGGGGTGGGGGCGGGTGGAGTAGAGATATATATATATATATATATATATATAACAGGCTCCAACTATGGCTAACAGACCGAGCGCAGCTAACAGCCGTGTGTAATCCTCTCTGTAGTCTGTAGGCTATATATGGAACAAGGTGGTGACAGAGCTGGTGCAACACAAAGGGCGTCCTGCTCCTAGTATGAGGGAAGGAAATTATGAAAGCATCTTCTGATCACATGTGTATATATATATATATATATATGTGTATACATAGTAAAGATCACACATAAAGATCACACATAAAGATCATCAATATCTTACAAATGACTTTGAATCTGCATTAAATTGCGACAAAGTGTCATATTTAAGTTGTAAAAAAATATATGTAATAACTGCAACATGTATTGAGAATTGTATTCTAGCTTGTTAAAGGCCATAAAGTACTATAGTATATTCTATTCAGTCCAATACTCACTCTCAAAATCAACTTCTGGAGACGGAACTAGTGTCTTACCACATATTACAGGTTATGTTTACTAAAACCCCCCCTCTTGCCACAAGAATTTGAAGAATTTGAGGGATCATGAAGTTTTACCACCTATAGCTGTCAAGTGCCTTTTTCACTATTACGCAACGCTATTAATAAAACGTACAGAAACATTCATCACTCGATCTGCAGACGTGGTGGTAGCCTGCTCCTCCATCATTCTATGGTTTGTTGGGATGCACGAATGCCCCTCTCCTCCTTCCTCAATGTACAACCAACCAAATAAATAGTGTGTTGTTGCTCTATGATTGCACTAAACTGCCAGACAATATGTTGTAACTACCACAGCCTGTTGTGGGAATCTGAAGGGTTGCATAACCTCTTAGCAAATCTCATCCCTAGACCACTGCAAAAAATACCCCCTCTTTGTCACATAGGAAGTCATAGAACCAACAACTCCTTATTTCCAATTTTTAAGTGACGCTTGTCTGAAATTGAATAAAATATCATGTAAAATGGTGAAAGTGTCTCTCTTTCAGCATCTTATTTTATTCCTCGTGCATTGTTGTCTTGCTGTCCATTGTCATCTGCTGTTACGCACCAAACGTCAAGTCAAATTCCTTGCATGTCTGACATGTTATGCAAATAAAGTCCTGATTCCTGATCTTGTTGATATCAAACACTGTAGAAGACTGCCACTCTGATCAAGTTTGGATGTTTGACTGTAAACAACATTTGCCCTCACAAGGGTGTGATTGAGTCAGTTGGTGGCTTTTTGTGACAGAGGAGAACTGGGAATTGTAACATTGTTAACTCCTCTAGTGATCATGTTGTTTCGCATTCCCTTGGACGGAAGGCAGCGTCTCTGTATCAAATCTCTCTGCCCGATACTCATTTTAGATTTAGAAAGGTTAATGGCCGGGACAATAAACCAGTACAACTTTATTTATGTATTATGAGGATGTTTGTCACATAACTGTTCCCTTGGGGTTTTGCATCAACACATTAAATCTATCACTCAATTGTATTTACCATTAATAACCAGTATGGGATTGTATGGGAAATGTAAATACCAGTGGCTCACAGCTTTGCTTTGGTCGTCCACGCCGCTAGAGGCGCTGTCTCACAACCCGTCCTACGCTCACTGGATGGCGCATGCGCAGTCGGTCTGTTTTCAAACGAGTGGAAGAAAGCGGCGCTGGAAGAAGCGAAGGACCCGAAAGAGCGTCGAGCTTCTCCTTTTTGTCACGTTTAGCTTCAGCCTGTAGTATTTCCAATGGATTTAGAACCCGGAACATACGAACCAGGATTTGTTGGTATTAGGTTTTGTCAAGAATGGTGAGTTTGTTGTCAATTAAAGGCTACACTCGGAGTTACACCAGCTAGCTAGCTAACATTGAACGTTGACGTTACGTGTTAAAGCTAAACGCACGTTGGTGCAACGTTGTTTTTTGTGTCTAACGTTAATCATTTAAAATACATCTTGACGCTTGTTTTCCAGTAACAACATGTTATACCCTAAAGAAGACAAGGAGAATCGCATCCTGCTCTATGCGGTAAGTTTCTGCCACTGAGTTATTCAGAAATAGAATAATACATTTAAAAACGCGTTAAAGGTTGCCGTTTCTTGCCGTTTTGCTGCTTCATCGATCGGAGTCAGAGAACCTCAGTCGCTCGGTGCAATGCATGCGTGATGAAGTGCCTCCGATGGTGGCATTGATGTACTGAAGCCTCTGACAGGCTGCTGCACAGCGATGAGCTCACACGTCCACATGTTTATACGCTGCTTTCCTTTTGTTGAACCCACGACACAGTGCAGGAACTGTGACTACCAACAAGAAGCAGACAACAGCTGCATCTACGTCAACAAGATCACCCACGAAGTGGAGTAAGTAAACGCGAACAAAGTGAATCACCACGGCTTGGATGAAATAAAATCTGACTGGCTGATCTGTGCTTCGCTAGAAACTTCACACGCCCAGAAAAATGTCTGTCACTTGATGGCTAATTGTTGGTGAGTAATCTAATATCTTGCTTGTCTCTTTTCTCCAGTGAGTTGACACAAATCATTGCTGATGTATCTCAGGATCCAACACTTCCAAGGACAGAGGACCACCCCTGTCCCAAGTAAGTTTAACCAGGAGGAATCCACCTCACCCATTGTCTCTGGAGCCCACTCATTGGTCATGTCTATTTTTAATATTTTCCGTGTTGTTGTGTTTTGTGTGTTGCGACATATTGTCTTTATGTTTTTCACATTTGGCCTAAAAATCCACGCTTCTTTTTAAAACCAGAGAAAACATCCTTTTCTATATTCCTAAATCCCTGGAACAAGTTTTTATAAACTTTATCCTTCCTTTAGGTTCCTCATTTTTTGCTATTTTTGAACACTCCCCCTTTTTTTCCTGCAATGTCAAATACTCCTGTAAATTTCCGTTGCTGAATGACTCACTCTTCACCAGCAACAGTTTACGCCACTACCCATCTTGATCTGTGGAGCTAAAGATCCGCTTGGACTTGCCGCCTGCCTGTGCTCGTGTGTGATGTTTCCTAACAATGTTCTCCCTCCTTGTCCACCCAGATGCGGTCACAAGGAGGCAGTGTTTTTCCAGTCTCACAGTATGAAGGCTGAGGTAACGATCATTGTCGCTCATTCCATGACCTTTAGTTTCAATGTTGTTTGTGCTCAGGGAGGATGCCACTTTTCCTTTTTGTCTTTACTTCTATTCATGACTTTATTGTAATACGTTTCTCATGATAGGACGCTATGAGACTGTACTACGTCTGCACGGCCCCTCACTGTGGACACAGATGGACGGAGTAAAGTTAGCCACGATGAAGAGATCTAACTTTTTTTATCTATAGTAATTACTGTTCACAGAAAAACCACAGCTCAGATTTTCTTTACTATCAATGTGCAGCTTTCTTGTTAAACAGCAGGGCTGCTGACGTTTGTAGAGTATCTTTGTTTGAATGCTGTAAGTGTCAGACAGCATCTTATGAATATGATGTATTAATATTTTTTTATAGAAGTTGTCATGTTTTTGTTAGATTAAAGGAATCACTTATTTCAAAAGTTGTTTTCTGAGTTGTCTTTGCACGTTCCGCCGCAAACTAAAGACGCCTCTTCAGACTATACAGTGACTAAGAAACACTAAACACATTGTAGCACTTTACTTGTACTTATAATGCCTCTTATCTATGGCAAGTTGTAAATCGGTTTATTTGATGAAATTGCTCTCTCTTGTTCTTCTGGGCGTGTATCCTTATGGTTGAAATGCACTTATTGTAAGTTGCTTTGGATTAAATCGTCAGTTTAATGACGTGTAATATAAAAACACACCCATGCTTTTGTCAGCATGGACACCTAATGATGCCTATTAAGCCCTGTGAGTAATACATGGATTATACCACTCCTTGTTTCTTGCCCTAACCAAAATGTACACACACAGAAGGATTGTTTAAAACAGAAACTAGGGATTTCCTTTCAAAACTTCCCATGCATTGTATGTGATAAGCACCGGTTGGGTAACAGTAGATAATTCCTTGGTCTAACTTGTGCGCTGATACGACTACATGGACGAACAGGGAAGTTGGAGTTCCCGTGGCCACGCCTCCTGAGGCGGGCTCCTACATAAGGCAGCTGCACAGTTCTCAACGGCATGTGCGTTCAGAGATATGGCGCAAACAGGTAAGACGACGAGCACCACATCTCTTGCACTTGAAAATCATTTGACCGCTGCAGATGTCTTTTTATTGCATTAGCTGTTTGATTCATTATGACTGTCTTTTTTTTTTTATGTATCTTCAAAATTGTTTTTCAGGTAACATTGTTTCAAGGCAGCAGTGGGGAGCAGCTGCCCCTAAAAAAAAGGAGACCATGAAAGGCTCTGCCCAGAGGGTGGTCATCCACCACACCGCCCTCCCAGGATGTAAAGACCAGAGGGAGTGCATGAAGCGTCTTGTCAGCATTCAGAGAAACCATATGACGGAAAGAGGCTTCGATGACATCGGATATAAGTGAGAGGCCTAAGAGTCGAAACTGTTAATATACTGGAAGACATTTTGTAATGTGCCCTTTTTAGTAAGTTGTAATGCAACTTTAGGATTCTTTCTGTGTGTGTTTATCAGTTTTCTTGTCGGAGGCGACGGTGCAGTGTACGAGGGCCGCGGTTGGGGCGTGGTGGGGGCGCACGCCAAAGGCAACAATCATGACTCCCTGGGGATTGCCTTCATGGGCAATTTCAAAGGTTAACTTTTTTTTTTTATATCACAACAATACGAGGACATCGCGTCTTGGAAATATAGAAACCAGGAGCGTCGGAATGTCTTTTTCATCAGTAAGATGTGACGATTCTATCTTTAAATTTCAGAGGACACGCCAAGCCCAGAGGCCATGTCGTCCGTGAAGCGTCTGCTGGAGTCTGGAGTTCATCGGGGCCTTTTGCGCCCACAGTTTTCCGTGTTTGGTCACAGAGACCTGGGACAGACCGAATGTCCAGGAGCCAAACTGTATGCAGCACTGCCACAGCTGAGGGAGTAGCGCACGGCGCTCACTGCACATCATGGCGGGTTGGATGGAAGCGTTTGTTCAAACAAACCTTCACCGGCTCAGTTTCCAACCCAGGATTTGGAATAAATAAAGTTGACGATGGTGAAGTTGGTGATTGTGATTTATTTATTTTCATCGTGGGACGGGGGGGCAGGAGGTCTGTTGGAGGTCTGTTGGGACTTCCCCTTACAGCAGAGGGAGCCATCAAATGGGGTGAGAGCAGCAGGCGAAAGTCAATGTGCTTTACGCGGTGAATAACTATCCCACCGTCTCTTACTTGATTATATTCCTTCAACTTGTCATTATGCTACTTTTGAAGTGCAAAATGAATATATTTGGAAATACATTTTAATGATAAATAATCTGCATGACATTGTTATTAATTGGAAATTGGTTTCAGCTAAACATTGAAATTGATTCAACCCGTTCCCGTGTTATAGATATGTCATCAGCAATATTCTTACTATTTGATTCATTACATTTTACTCTTTTTGTTCATCCGTCAGCCACAGAGTGGTGCTTGCTGCTTGGGTTTCACTACTCGCACGAGTCCTCAAGGCCAAATTCATCCAGAAAATGATCAAATATACTAAACTACTCTTTAGGCCTGCGAATGCGTCTCTGCAAGAACCCAGTTTTCCTGCTAATGTCCTCGGGGTGCCACCCTAGATAAAATTCAAGACGTGAAATCAGATATTAAACAGAGAAAGACGTCCAAAAGGATTACAAGTGTTGAGACAACAATGTGCGCTTTCTGCAGTGCCGGAAACATTCCCAACAAGTGCTCGCTTGTGCAACGAGCGGATTAGGGAGGCGGGCGCCTATCAAATGGACTAAGAGGGTATAATGGTAACAGATTCTGTGTGTTCCTCCGCTCGTCATGTCTGATGTCTGGCACCTATGAACTGTTAAAAGAATTGCTGCAGGATACCTGGAAAAGTTATCATTGGAAATGCACAAAAAGATTGACATGAAACATGGTTTGATGAACCTGCTACTGACAGTCCTGCACGCTCAAAGTATGTTTCTTTTGACTGTTGGTGGAAGGAAAGACAGCATCATGCATTAGGGAGTAAATCTAGACTCAGGTAAAAAAAAACATACAGTGTGAGAGAGCTCCCATCACACCCCCATTAATACCGTTTAGAGACTCCTCCCCATGTCATGAGCTGTCTTTTCATTTATTTATTTTCTATTGACTGCTCCTTAAAGAAGACATATGATGCATCATTGTCACACAAGCATCTTAATTCACGAAGCCACTTTGCCTGCAGCCTTCTGGAGAAATCTTAATAAATCACTGCAGAAACATGTTCATCGAGGAGGTTCAGGAATCAGGAGACATTTATTGCCACAGTGCACGAAGAATAAAATAAAATATAATGCTATATGGGTTAGTAGTATAAGGCTATGAGTTAGTTTAAAAATAAAGAAATAAAAGTTAAAAATCAAGTGCACCAGCGAACAGAAAGTGGTTTCAAAATAAGATCTCTTAACGGAAGCTTTCTTTGTTTCTCACTTTACCCCCGATGTATGCAACGTGTACCTTTTCTCCATCCGTTGGTTTGGACTCGTAACCGGCATCATCATTAGAGCTATACACTGTACAACCACTTCTCACGTTTCCAAGAGCATTTAGCAAATTGCTGCTTCAACGAAGAAGGTTCGCAAAGAAAGAGAAAACGAGGGAGCGACGAGGCCAGGCCGGAGGGCAAGGCGCATGTGGGAGGCTTGAGTTTCATGAGTCACGGATGTGATATAATTAAACCTGAGAGATCAGTCGCACGGATTGACAGCTCGTCATCAAACGCCTTTTGGCACGTCCCCTATTTGTCGGGTTGGTGCTGAGCTGCGCTGGTCATGCGCATTTTGTCGTCGCCCCGTCTGGCCGGTGCGTCTTTGGCTCTTTTCGCCACTTTGAATCAGCGCATCCTCGCTCTGCGCCGCGGACACCTCCGAGGACTTTGAAGCCGTGACTTCTGCCTTCAGGATGGACCACTTGAAAACTTCGGAACGCGTTTTCCACAAGTCCTCGTTCAGCATCAGCAGCTTGTTGTTGAGGCGAGAGGGGGTGATGGGCGCCGCGGACTCTCCTTCTCCGTCCCAGACGCTGCGCTGCGCGCATCCAGAGAAACGCCGTCAGGAGGAAACCCGTGCCAAGAACTGCGAGACAAGCAAAACAGAGAGCAACACGGCCACTTCAGAAGCAAAACGAGAAGGAAATCCCTGCGAATCGAAGGAAAGTGGAGGAGCGGAAGAAAGCGCAAACCCCGAGAAACCTCCTTTCAGTTACAACGCGCTCATCATGATGGCGATCCGCCAGAGCCCGGAGCGACGGCTCACTCTCAACGGCATCTATGAGTTTATCATGGACAACTTCCCTTACTACCGGCAGAACCGGCAGGGGTGGCAGAATTCCATCAGACACAACTTGAGTCTGAACAAGTGTTTCGTCAAAGTTCCGCGCCATTACGACGACCCGGGTAAAGGGAACTACTGGATGCTGGACCCCTGCAGTGAGGACGTCTTCATAGGCGGCACGTCGGGGAAACTGCGGCGCAGGGCCGCGGCCGGCTCCGGAACCAAGCTCGCGATAAAAAGGGGAGGAGGTCGTCTGATGTCCTCCAGCACAGCGACCAGCGTGACCTTGGCGACGGCGGGTTCGTTTTATTGGCCGGTGCCGCCGTTTCTGCCTCTCCAAGCGCCGGTGCGCACCCACCTCGGCGCGGGGACTTATCTCGGCGCTCACCCCCGGTTCCCGAGCCACGCCACGTCGACAGTTTCGCAGCGGTCCCGGTTGGGCGCAACAGGCGCCGCGGACGCCAACCGGTTCGTGCAGACGCACCAGGAGATGTCTTACATTGGACTTAGCTGCGCGCAATCCAGACGCCATCAGATCGGCGCAGCCTGCACCGCCTTCTCCACATCCATCCCCGCGCGCACTCTGCCGCTGTCGGATCCGTACTCTTTTAACATGATCTCCGGACAGGCCAGCTACTTTTACTCTCACCAAATACCATGCGCCGCGACGTTCGGTCCGTGCCAAGAGGAGTGCGCCAAGACGTCTCTGAACGGCCACTCAGACCTCGGCGGGTTTTGTAATGACTTTCCAAATTACTGTCCTCAAATCAGTTCAAGCCCTCCTTCGTCTTGGGTTATAGAAAAATAAAGAGTGTTTATAGCATATGAAGTTGGAAAATAAAAAGCCAGAGCATCTTAAGATTATACCTGCATATTGTTATTTTTTTGAGTTGATGTAGTCTGATATTGGTATTTTTTTTGGACTCTCGTTTTGTCCCCAACATTTTTATTGTGCAATTTCTGTCAAATTAACAGTTAGCTGAAGCATAAACAACGCGAGTCCGGTTCTCACACTGTTTTTCTGACACAAAGGTGCAAGATGCTTGTATTTGCGCATGTTGGTTTTTTTTTTAAATCAAGGGACAGACTCAAACATCTTTTTTAAAATGTAATTAATTAGCACTTGGTCTGCATCTCTTAACTAAAACTATACCCCTGTTTTTTCAAACACTCACTTTTTACAAGCATGCACTTGAGTAGAAATGTGTGATGTTTGCGTGCATGTCACAGTTAGGCCTAATGCCATCATCTGAATTTACCGACAACATACCATAAAACATTAAATGTCTTTAAGAAATAAATCCAATGAACCAAAAAAATGATAATTCTCTCTTATTTTAATTTACCAGCATGTGTATACCGAGTGTTGGAGTTCTAAAATTTGGAAAAAGTGTATAAGTAAAAAATACACTTTTAAATTGAATGCTATTATTGTCTTTGAATTTGATTTTTTTGAAATTGCATTGCAGCTTTAATTATCCTACATGTAATTAAACGATAAATAAAGCATTTCTAATTATGTTTTCTTTAAAACTCATTAAAACCTACTGTTGCTAATTGTATTTATTGTTTCACTGTGGAGATTGGAGGCCACACGGCGAGGACGATAGACGGATTCAATTATTCGAAATCATTTGTGAAGTTTCTCTTTATGGACATGCTGTGATCCTCTTTAATTTAGTCCTTTTCTTTGTGCTATCGACAGGTCAATCAGAGGCTTTCTTGAGGAGACATCATGTGCAGACTGTGATTTATAACTTCAACATGACATTTCTGATCTTATTGATCCGTCCATGTTTCCCTGACATCACTACCTGTTCAACTTCCCCTCACCTCTAGTCTCCCTGATAGGCACATTCGGGGAAATAGGTGTATGAGGATAAAGATTAGAGCAGCTTTCTGGACGGCTGCCTCCTTGAGACAAAAGAGTCTTTATACCGAGAGACTCCAGGCCGTCACCCATCTAAGAGCAGTCCCATTCACGAAGGCTTGGGTTGAAGCAGACCGGGCTGGATCAGATAACTTCACTGTTGCAAACTCACAGTTGAGATGGATGCGAAGATAGTAATATTTTCATTACATGAGAAACTGTCGTTGCAAACAGCAGAGGACAGCGCTGTGAATCAACAGGTTTATGGTTCAAAGAGTCTCATACCCTGGGGCACCAGTAAGATGATATGTTTGCTGTTGTAATAAATAAGCACCCTTTTTGACAGCTCCTCTGATAGAAACAGAGATAATTGACGGATTAATAAATCATTTTTTCACCTGCAGTTGGATTGAGAAAAATTGTGGAACATAATAAAGTGCAGACAATTACGTTTTTGAGGGTTTCTGGTGCTGATGGTGTTCAATAAGCCCGCTTTAAATCTTAAACCACAAGAGTTAAATTATTTACTGCTATAATATTTACTGTACTGAAAAGAGTCGAAAGGTAGTTCATTTTGGCTTTTTTTTAGATTGTTTTAATTCCATTATAACATGTAATAATGATGATTGTAAAATGAGTCACATAAATTATCCATTATTATCCAATAATCCTTTCTCTGTATCAAGGATGTTTTCAAAATCAAACGATAGGAACAATACGTTTTGCAAACAAGAATAGCATTAATCATCCAAAGAAAGATTGTGGTCCCCATTTGTTGAGGATGTTACCTCTTCGCAGAACTCATCAAAACTTCAAATCAAACCATTGGCACACTTTTTGTCATTTTACAGCCGGCTTCACAGATTAAGATGTAAGTCCGCTGAGCTGTGCTTCATTAAGATAGAGTACAATTCTGGAAAACAATCCCACACATTCACCTTTCCCAACAGCACAAAGGCTGCCATTATCCGCAGCAAACGGCCTCTGCAGGTAGGCCTGCCACCATTGAAATAAGGTGGGTGGGTCGTACACCCCCAGGCGTCTGCATGTCTCCTGCCAGACAGCCAATCTCTCAATGTCATTTTGCTTCTGTGGTAACGTAGCCAACGTCCCCGTACCCACCTCTTTTCCTACACACGCTTACCTACGTACACCCTGGTTATTGATGTGTTAAAGACCAAAACAAAGACTTATCTGTTTCGTTCTGTGGTACCACTTGGGTTGCTCCCTCTGCCATATCTTCTCCTGTGGCAATTTATTTAACACTTTGTTGTTCGTGCGCTGCATGGTATGAAATACCACATCCTGAATCAGTACAATAAATATTCTTTATTTAAAAAAATAAGAGGAAGAATCTTACATCATCTTTTGTCTAATTTTGATCGACCACTAAATTCTGAAGAGCAGTATTCACATGTATTCACGCCTTTCAGCGTTGCAGTCGGTCTGCAAAACGACTAACTATCTTGGAGGATTAAAACAATCTAAATAATACTTGTCATTGGAATGTAATGAAGTAGTATAATGTAGAATACAAGGTATATGCTAGAGTACAAGTACCCTAAATTGTACAGGAGTGAAGTGTTCACAGGCTTGGTTTAATTGTACGTTTTCGCTGGACTGCAGTGACCCGGAAGCTTTTACAGAAAGTTTGAGGCGCGTACCAGTTGACCCGGAAGCTGCTCAGTCCACGCGAGTGTAGCAGAATCGTTGCGGATACGAAGCGAAGGAACCCGGTGAAGTCGAGCAGCATACGATCTGAGACGTCTGTTTTCATAAACCAACAATCATGTAAGTCTTTCTAATGATTGGCCAGTCTGCGGGACGGTAGTCATTTTTCGGTCTCGTAGCCGAAATGGCGAGTCGCGGAAGCTAGAAGCTAACGGGTAGAATGCTAGCTACGTTAGCATTTTATGGAGTCAGCGATGAGAGCAACGGCCGGTTGCTTTGTATGCCTTTCCGGTGCTATGCACACGTCGGCAGAGCTATGTTAAAACTCTATTAATTCTTATGGTATTTAAATTAAATCACCAATCCGTCCTTTATTTAACGTGTAGTTCAAGATAGAAGAGTACCGACTCAGACGTCGCACAATAGCATTGGTAGCATAGCATAGCCACATGCTAACACCAAGCGCTAACGTTGCAGGGTTTGAGCATGCGTGGTTCCGCATCCGATATGTTATAAGTTATGTGACTCTAACGTTGATTATCCTTCGGTATTAATTCATTTCTGATTCTATACACTATTCAGTTAATCGTCGCTTTATATGTTCGAGCTGCATAGTCATTAAGTAAATTACAGTGAAATAAACATTCATTTTCCTGTTCATTTTCATTATTTGACTGGAATATTTCCTTGGAATACATTTGTCTGACATTCCTATGAAACTTGGTTTCCCCCGTATAGTGAACAAGTTTACATTTTTATACAGCATGGTATTGCTTTTTAATACAAGTCTGTACATATCGTTCTCTGTTGTATATGAAATTTAACCTCAACGTTTACAAAATTGCAAAATTACAAACATGAAAAAAAGTCCCATAACCGACACTTTTTTTTGTGCCATGTCAGATATAAACAGACACTCCTCCTCCCAACCGTTCTGATCAGACTCATTTGTAATCAATATTTTTGTTGTGATGTTTTTTTTTTTTCAGGAGTCTGTTGACAAAGCCCAAGTCGGAGATGAGCCCGGAGGAGCTCCAGAAACGAGAAGAAGAGGAGTTCAACACTGGCCCTCTGTCGGTGCTCACCCAGTCCGTCAAGAACAACACTCAGGTCCTCATCAACTGCCGTAACAACAAGAAGCTGCTCGGACGAGTCAAGGCCTTCGACAGGTACCGAGCCCAGCATCTGACCTTTTAAACTGGTTTCCAAGTAGGCTGTGCGATTAATATTCAATTTCATCCCACCAAAAATGTAATATTTATGTTACTGTATTTAGTGCGGTTTGTATTTTTTATTGTCACAAATGGAACAATATGAAGGTTTCATATCACAATTATCCCGGGAAAAACGATCACATGCCATGACTTATTGGTAAACTTATTCTATTATAAAACAATACCTTGTATTTGAACGCAGATTGGACATATGCTTTTTAGTGCGGGACAAGCTAAATTATCTCTAGGAAATTAATTAAACAAACTTTCAACCCACCAAATTATAATTCCTTGGTTTCTAATTTCTTCACAATGCTAGGCAGCTTTTTCACTCAAGTAGCAATATTCCTGATAATGGAAATTCACCATGATCAACTTTTTCTCCCCCCTTTTTTGTATTCATTCATTACCCGTGCTGATTAATGTGGCTCAGCTGGCAGACGTCCTGCTCAACCGGAAACCTCTCTAAATGCACAGAAGGGTGCAGATGCTAGAAATATCTATTTTTATAACATCTTAGCGCAGTGAATTAGCTCGAATCCCCTCAGTGTCTGCGGAGGAAAAACAACCCCTGTTTTTCATTCCCTAAAACAAAAGGCTTTCAGTTTCAGGTCCTGCTGTTGGCGAGCTGCATCATGCCGGTGTTGTGAGATTGGCAGTGCTGTACTTTAAAAGTAAAAAATAGGCGAGACCTTTAACAATGACGGCAGACAAGAAACCGCTTTCTCAAGTTCTAATGCAGGAGGTGGTTGCCATTTATGCTCCCAGAGGATGGTCCTCAGCAGAGACTTAAAGACCCTGAGAGCTCTCAACGGGGGAGATGTGTCTTAACAAGTACTAAAAAACAAACCTCAGCTGGCATGCCGTGATGATCATTTTTTGGTGATCTAAATAATATATTTTTGTGTTTTGGTAATGTATTTACATTCTATACATTTAAAGGAAGGCATTATTACTGTTCAGTTAATATGCTCTCATCTGTGCATGGCTCGTTCAACAGGTTGCGATTTTTTTTCTTTCCCTGAGAAGAAAGAGAAATGCACATTTCTCTTGCATCATAATTTGTACAAGGGTCTTATGCAGGAGGCCCCATGTTTTTAATTGTTAATCTCTTTCAAAATCTTTAATGGTATGTTTCAATGTTCTCTGCCCTCGCTGTCGTTCCAGGCACTGCAACATGGTCTTGGAGAATGTGAAGGAGATGTGGACGGAAGTTCCCAAGAGCGGGAAGGGAAAGAAGAAGTCTAAGCCCGTGAATAAGGACCGCTACATTTCTAAAATGTTCCTCAGGGGGGACTCGGTCATCATCGTGCTGAGAAACCCCCTGATCACGGGAAAATAAACTCTCAGTAGGCGTCCAGCTGGATCGGTCACAAAGCCCCTTTTCTTTTTTTTTGTTGAGTTGTTTGGAGGCAGTGGACTTGTTTTGTCGGTGGATCACTGCAGTCACTATCGAATAAGATGAAAATCTTGTCAAACATAACGTCTTTGCGTTGTTTTTGTCACAAGAATACTTGCTTTTGAGTTGTCACTAGAACTCCTCTGTATTTTTCATTTTAATAATAAAAGTGATGGATAGATTAATGTGAAGTAGTTGTTTTTATTTTACGCTTTCAAGTTTCTCCTTAACTAAACCTACGGCTAGTTTGATTGCATTTTATTTTTTTTTACCCCATTTTTTTTCTCTGGTATCCTCCCCCCTCGTCCCCCGCTGTCACACTTTCACTCCGCCCTGACAGCCTCTTCGGGGTGGGGCTGGAATTCAGTCGGCAGCGCTCAATATGCGACAAACTGCCGTTTAAAGGCGCGGTGCATTATTGATGAGACCAGATGCGCTGACTGTCACTTAACACCCGGTTCTGGCCCCCCCCCCCCCCACCTCGGGCCGTTCCCCCCGGCCGCCCCGCTCGGCCCCTCCTGACCACTTTGTTAATTGTCTTAATAGCTTAACAGCCGGTCTCGCCTTACTCCTCTCTAACCTCTCGCTTTGCGGCGCTCTCACTTTTAGCGGTCAAATCGTTTGAGTTAAAAACAAAAAGCTACTCTATTTCGTTATTTTGCGAGCCGAACACTGTTGATGTTTGAATTGTGTGGAAATCCCCGCTGGTTTAAATGCAGGCTGTAGAATTGAAATACACGGTATCTTATCCTTATTAAAATCAACCTCACTCTGCCTAATTACAGTATTGCCCTCTTAAATGTATATGTTACATGTGTCGTACCTGACTGTACGCTGCAGGTGCTCTGCTGGCTGAGGCGTGACCCTGAGGGGGATCCGTGCCCGGGCGAGGCCTGATTGACGGCCCTCAGCAGAGGCCGCCGGGTCAAAGACTCCGTGAACTTTGATGGCTCGTCTATGACTTGTGTGGCGATACTTGTGTCGAGCTCCTGCTGCAGGCAAATCTTGACTCCTACTAAAAGTTTGAGGAGATTTGAGTTACGACGGCCATGAAACTGAGCCGCCAGCGTTAAGAGACGGGGCAGCTTCTCGGGGTCAAACCTCAACAGGACGCTTCTGTCAAAGCTTTATTAACACTAGAGGTAGTCTTAATTCATACATTTTGTACACCTTCTTTTTAATAACTGAACATGCGTTGTTCCGGTTCTTCTGATAGTAATGAGATGTAAAAACATAATTTCTCTCGCTGGTTTTATTTTAAGTTCCTCTGAATATTTTAAAGACTAAAAAGCCCATTTTTACTGGTATTTTGCAAGACACCACATTGCTAATGTCGTTCTTACTTGGTTGTGCGTCTTGAATCTGTGTGTTCAACGTTAATTCAACAGTTTAAATCCACAGTTTGACTTTAGATGAACAATAAGAGTTCTACTCACAACCTATGATTATTTATTTATCAAAGAGCTGTAGACATTTTAGATGAACATTATGTGAAATATAAAGTGCTATGCAATTTACTGCAACCTTGACCTCAAAACTCAGCCGTAAAGGCCCAATTTACATGCAAACACCAACAAGACGTGTTACAACACATAAGAAGGGTGAGTTTGGATGTTGACCTCTTCAGGTCCTTTATTAAGTCAGATGAGCCACAAAAAATCTCTCACAGTCGCAGCATCCGGGCACGAAGCACCGCTGAATAATCGCGCGGGTCTATTGGGAGATGTCCGAGGAAGAAAACACACTTTGGGGCCCCCACTGGTGGGGTATCCTCCCCATTTTCCTCAGGTTACCCAAATTCATTTCAAAGACCCTTCAAGAAGTCTCTTTCACCCTAATTGTTTTGTGTGTGTGGGGTGGTGGTGGAGGGGGGGATCCGTCGCCAGGAAGGCAGATGTTTTATCCAGTAGGTAACCGATAGGGGGGGGGGGGGGGGTGAAGTGTGATTATGATAGCGATCGGCCATGCGTTGATACTCGAGCCTCCGGGCAACGCGACACCTCGCAGCATCGACCGGGCCGCGGACACCGGAGCAGCCGCAGTTTGTTTCCAAGCAGAGCCGCGCTGCGGGTGGGAGAGCGAGGGAGAGAGTGAGAGGGAGGGTGGGGGGTACCCGCTCCGTAAACACACACAAACACCTTCGCTCATCTCTAAGTGTGAATGACAGTAACTGAGGACACAGTCGCTGCAGCCAAAACAAGAAGAATCAGAGCTGCTGCACGGAGGCCCCGGGCCCCCTGCACACAGATACACGTTACAGTTAGACTACCGGCTCAACATTTACCCGGAGGTAGTAAATTAATAATCTGTGTATATATTTAGGGGATGTCCCAGGACTATGGGTCCGGATTTTAAAGGTCACGAGTCTTCATATCCAAACACGGAACAGACATGTTTGCTTTAGTACATCTCTTTTCTCTTTTTATCATTTCAATGTTTCATTTTAATCACAAAATCCCCGGTTGATTTTCTGTAAATTCTATAACCTCTTGTTGACTATATCACCATGGTAACAGCATCTTACTCCCACATTTCCGACTGTATCACATGGACCACGTCAGCAGAATACTGTTTCTCAGCTGTACTGATGCTTAATACACGTGCTCGTTCTACATGTTTCCGGTGAGTAAAACTAAATCACTAAGTCATTTCTTGAGTGTTTTGCCAAAAAGAATACTCAAATATTCATATTTAGTCTGCCTAGAGGCCTAAAGAATACTAAAATGTGCAATATTAATGGATTATGTCTTAACAATTAGGAAATTCCTTTAATGTCATGTAAACTCACCTTGGTGTACAGCCGAGCAATATGTTCATATGTCGAAATCGACTGATCTGACCTGTTATATTTGTCATGAATACGTTGTATATATATTTAGCATTGAAAAACATATGATTGATGTTTTTGTGTTGAAAACCAAAACACACCCAATACTTTAATACGCAATACCAAAGTACATTGAATTACACTTTAATTTAATTTTCTATTTTGTCTTTAATTATTTTGTCTTGTGAGACTCTTTCAAGCAGACTTCAGCAGTCAGTCGTGTGTATTATGTCACGGTAATACGGCCATCTAGTGGATTATAAAAGTATTACATGTAGCTTTGTAACTTCCAATTTTTTAACAAGCCATTGTCATTAATTACACAGAATATATTGAAAACTGAAAAACGTTTAATGGATCTTGAAGGGATAATTTGATCCAGATAAAGATTGCTGATACTTTGTGCGGAAGGTTTTTAGAGGCTTTTTAATTTGATAATTACGCACATTGGCTTTTCATGTATAAGTAACAAAATGCTCAGATACTGAAATTAAAACACAAGTATATGTTGTGGATTCAGAACAACATTTTGTTTGATATTGTATTCTTTGCTTTAAGCATGGCTTAGCTTGGTAGTGGTGGAATGTATATGTATGTTTATTTAGGAACCAGACCAAAAAAAAAGTAACGAATTAACTGTTAAAATAAATTACTAAAGAGATTATTGTTTCTTTTGGTCATTTCAAGTCCAACCTCCCAAGTCCAATTTTCATTTAATTACTCAACTCTAATACAAAAAATAGCTCCAGCTCAACAAAGCCCAGAAAATAATGTATCTGATTAAAACACATACCTTTAGATGAGGAGCTTCTTAACACATGGGGTATTAGTTATTTTACTGGAGTAAAGGATCAGAATACTTCCTCTGCCCATGTAGCCTGATTTGTCAGTGTTACGGCATGATTTTCATTGACTTCATTCTAGGACATGTCCCTGAGACAACCTCTTGCATCCTTCTGCTGCCCTTTGCTCAGCTGGCCCCTGGCCCAGACCTCTTAGCCAACAGTTGTGTCTGAGTCCATTATAAGTAGATCTTACCCTCCTCCGGTCACATTCCTTCCCTTGCAAAAAGAGATAGGGAGAGAAAAGAGAAACAGGTTGGACACTGGTTCTCTATGTCTGTGTTTCCTCGGTTGAGATTTACTTGTATAATTCTCTTTATTCCTTTGCCAAACAACGAGCGGTGGAGGCCGAGGCTCTCAGATGCTGCCTCAGGGCCTCAGGGCCTGAGGACCAGGGCCTCTGACTCGCTTCCCGTGTCAGCAGTAGAGGTGCAGTCTGTTTACAGCCTCTCTGCAGACAGGGAGACACTCAGAGGTGTGATTAAACCACCAAAGACTGTCCAACAGTTCTTCCGGCAGGCTGACATCTGTGACGTCAAGGCTGTGAAAATAAGCCTGTCGCCTCAGAGACGGTGTGGGGGGCGCGAAGCACAGAAGGAACCCAAAATGACTGTTTCTGATTCTTTAGGAGCTGCTTTCTTTCACACAAACATCCCCACGCAAGTTCCAGCCACAAGCTCAGACAGAAGAGTTCACTCGGGACACTAAATAAAATCCTAGACTCACAGTTGCTCCGAGCTGTCAGCGTGTATGTCTAAGTGTGTGTCTGTGAGTGTGTAGGGAGGGTGGGGGGGGGGGAGCTAAAGGCATATCGGCTTTCTGGATGTTTACACATGCCATGCACACGTAATGCATTCCTTTCTCATCCTCTCGTCCACTTCTGTCCCCATTAGAAAGGAGGACTTTTATTGTGTACACTATCTCACTTTGGAAAACTGGGCCATGCGAGGCTGCCAAACACTCCTTTCACCGATAATAAAATAATAAAATATAACTAAAAAGTTCTATATTATATTATTCTGTGCTCTATATTTTTAATCCAAGTTGTTTTTTTATCACAGGGTAATTCGCTAAATGCTTCAGAGGGTCTACAAGGAATATAGCTATGGAGAACAAAGTTACAGATATATAAAGAATATGAAATAAAACCCTGAAGTCACCGTAGTGACGTTACGCTGACAGCCGGCAGGGCGAGGTGCAGGGCCGCCGAGGCCCCGCGCGTGGATCAGATGCTGCCTTCAAGTGCTATCGGAAATCGAATATATCAACCACCAAAGATAAGAACTTTAACTTTACACCTCTGATTTGCAGTGTTTAACTGTTGCTAAAATAGTGAGCAAAACGGAGGGCTGGTTCATTGGATTTTTTGGGGGCTTTTGTCTTATTGGTGGTATTTAGCTAGCTAAAAACCAAAATAAATCAAATTGTAAAGAACATTGACTTTCTTTTATGTAGCGTACTTCATTTCATTTACTTACTTTTTTAAACATTTACTTAACTCTACCTTATATCGTGAACTGTTTATCCACATAAGAATACGCAGCTACAAACTTCTGTCAAATACATCAGTGATGAGAAAACTCTTTGAAATGTCCTATCAGAGAATGTGATTACCGAAGGAAAAGGTTTAACAGAGTCGCTACGGGCACACTGCTTGTTTACATCTCCCTGGGTCATTTTGCTTGTCCCTCCATTTATAGTTCAAGTTTATCAAATTCGGTAAAAATTCGTGCTCCCTGTCAGTCGACGACGCATCAACCCCCCCCCAAAAAGACCTGATTCTTTCCTTTCCCGAGGCGCACCTGAACGCGGCACCGGGATCTGAAACCGTCGGGTTGGGCCAGAGGCTCCAGACGAACCCACACGGACCGAGGCCGCGGAGTCCGACACACGGGTCCGACCCCCCGAAACCAGCAAACGCGTTAACCAGCCGCAAAAAGAGAAGTTCCGGTTTGTTTTTTTTGCAGCCTGCTTCTTCTCGACTTCCCCTCGTTGGCTCGCAGACACCAATGCGGGATAGTGATTGGAGTTGACAAGCCCGCTCCACTACTGTATCTACCCTCCTCCCCCTCCTCCTCCCCCCCGCTCCACACTCAACCAGGAAATCGTCGAGGTGTGCTCTCTTTACGCCGCCAGTTGCTACCCCGTCTGCGGGTGTAGATGCGCCTTTTCCAACCGCCGGTTGTTGTTGTTGTTTTTGTTTTTTTCTCTAAATAAGTCCACCAGTTTGAGTGTCGCCGCCGGGCTTTGAGCCCTGAAGTCCGCCCCAACTTGCCTTCGAGGAGAGCGGATCTCCACTGTGGCCGAACAATGAGGTGGGTCAAAGCGGCTCAGAGCCCCTTCATCTTCCGTGTGTTTCCAGGCTACGTTTGGCGTTTCTCACCCGGGACCCGGCGAGCCCGCGGCGGCTCCTCTCCCAAACGGCGGGTCGTGCTTTTCATTCTGAAATAACTGGAGCTTTCTGGCTGGGGAGGTGCGGGGGGGGGGCATGACGCTGGGTAGCAGTTGTTTTTTGGGGTGGGTGGGGGGGGGGGGCGGCTGGTGAATAACACGGTAGTTTGTGTGTCAATGTTCGCTACTTTTGAAGTGGAAAAAGTGCGCGCGCCGAGTCGACTTTTTTTTTTGGTTTTTTTCGAAGACGACCGACTGCGTGTTCTTCACAAAGCGAACCGTGCGGGCGCACCGGGGTTCGGGGCGCTTTTGCGGAGCGCGTGAAAAGCGCTTCGGTGCCTCGCTCGAAGGCGGCGAATTCCGCCGTTTCTCGCCCACTTTGCTTTCACCCGCGGAGACGCTCGTCGCGTGCGCAGATCCCGCATCCTGCCAACAAGCCCCGCGTGCACTTGCGTGCTCCGAAGAGCCCTTTGCTCCTTTTAGGTCTTCTTCTTCCTCCTCCTCCTCCTCGCTCGTGCACATTGGAACACGGCCGCGCTCCACTTAGGTCGAGTAACACCTTTCGCGTCATCTCGACGGGTCGGTAACCTGTGCGACGAGTTTCTTTATCTCGAGTTTGTTTCCCTGTGAAACAATGTGTCCCTGCTCGGGTTGGTCCGCGGTTTGTGTTTGTTCTGCACTCGTTTTCTTCCTTTTGATCGAAGCCGGAACAGGAGGCACTTGAGCCGCCCGATACCCCGCCACGATCACAGCAACGCATTAAACGGTGACCCCCCCCCCCCCCTTCTAAAGCCCCCCGCTGATGAGGCCATTAATTAAGTTAATGCAAGGATCAGCAGAGATTACTGCGCTACAAAACGCTACAGAATGCAAAGGCGAGTTCACGTGAATTTCAGCTGCAAAGGAAGTCCGAAGGAGCAGACTCTTAGAGGAAGGAAAAGACTGCAGTTTTTGTTTTTTGGACACAAACTAGTGGAAACCAGAAGAACTTCTACACCACTCCAGTGTGCATCACATATAATCAAACCTATATGGTGTCTGGTATATGTGTCAGCTCAACAATACCCTGTGTGCAAAATAATAATAACAATAATCACACACACAATTACACCCAAGCATTTTAATTGTTCTGACACGGGAGTTTAATTGGCGCTTGGATGTCGGCCCACACGGACAAGAACACGGCAACTCACTCAAACACGTGTTTGTGCGATACAACTATTTATAAAGAAAGGGACTCTGGCCGAGCAGATTCAGAAATCATTGATGCTGCACGTTGACGGCGATCGCTGAAGATAAGCAGACGGCTTTATTGTCGTGTTGCCCTCACCCCCCCCCCCACCCCACCAACCACAAACTGCTGCAGCAACCAGAGCACCAAGTCGACCATAAAGTGGAGGCCGCCGTTGTCCATTGCGGCGTCTTCATGCGTGGGGGTCTCCTCTCTGCGTCGACGGGCGACATCCGCCCTCGATGGTGGTAGGTGCTCCTTTTTCCCGGGTGGTGCTCCCCCGCGGTCGCTCCACCCTATGTCACCTTGTGTAGTAGTTTCACCACTGGAATGCAGCGTGCCCCCCCCCCCCCCCCCCCCCCCCCCCTCATTGTCATTCCTCTGCCTGGTATGTGGAGGACGTGCACAGTCAAAAGTTCAACGATTTGACCCAGTTGAGAAAATGCAGTATCTCCACTGACTCCCCCTTCTTCTCCCACAAACCCCCCCCAAAAAAAGAAAATAGACGCCGTATCACTGCCTGTCGGCAATCTTCTCCTCTTTGTTAGGTGCCACAGGAAGTGCATCCATCCAAACAATGATTCACTGTTACTGCCAGGGGTGACTCCCACCTGCCTCCCACCAGGGCTCACCCGCTCTGACTAACAGCCCCCCCCCCCCCCCCCCCCCTCTCCTCCAAACCCCCCCGAGGCTGGGAGGGGGGCCCCCGGGTCAGACAACAAAAGGCGGGTGTTTTGGGAGCAGGGGGGGGGGTTCAACCCCCCCGCTCACCTCGGGTTTCCCCTGCCCCCCCCCCCCCCCCCCCCCCCCAAAGGGGTGGGGTAAACGTTTTTTTTTTTTATTGAGGGGAAAAAACGGGGGGAAAGCCCCCCCCAACCCCCTCGGGGGAGGGGGATAAAATTTTTTTTTTTTTTTTTTTTTTTTTCTCGCTTCTGGCAGTAAATGGAAAGGAATGCAGCTGGAACGGCGACCTTTGTTTTTTGTTTTTTTTGCTGTCGTAGCTTCCTCCTCAATCCAAATGTCCCGCGTCTTGACCCCGTGTCCCATCAGACCGGTAGCTGTTATTTGAGGCATTTAGCAATATTGTTGCCTGCATTTCCATGTAAGGATTACGAGATGAAACCCATTGGCGTTGCGATAGGAGCGCACTCATGCCCCGGTGTTGTGTAATGTTCAGTGGCTCTGGTGTTGTGAGACATTCATTCCTCATGTCTTCACTTGTTTTCCTAATTCCTTTTACACACTTTTGAAGTCTCATGTGTTCGCTATTTAAAAAGCATTCCGAATATCAAGCGTAGAAATGCTCGCGTACTCTCCTCTCAGCCGTCACCTAGGAGGCCTTGCTGCAGTTTGTAAAGCGCCGTTGTTTCCGTTTCACCTTCATTGTCTTCGTGCCAACTGGAGCCGCAAACATCGGCGGCATTCTGCACACCTGAAAACGATTTTTTTCTTTCAGTGTGAAAATAAAACCGCCGTCTCATCTCTTGTACCTCAACCAATCAGATCCCGGGCATCCGTGCACCAGAAGCAATGACAGCCGGCGGCAATCTGCGTGTGCTCGGGGGGATTCTTGTCCCCAGAGGATTAAGAATTACGGCTTTATTCCGTGCATATTGATATGCACTTGGACAGTGGTGCACAGCTGGCGTGACACTCCGCGGACCCGCACACGCTGCACCGCCACCCACACACACACACATGAAACGGTCTCGCCGTGTGAGTTTGTCTCCCTCACACCCAGTCACTGTGACCCACCCTCTTCTCCCTTACAAGGGGAACCAATTCACCCCTCTGGGTCCTTCCTCTCATCAATAGGCCATTATGCCGGCCGGCCCCCGCGGAGCAGACGCTCTGCTACAAGAGTTGCGCAACGTACACAACCTGGCATTGTCTACTTTGTCTACAAATCCAGTCTCCTCCCCCCCCTTTAATTGTGCTTCTCTAGGTTGTTGCGTTCCCTCCGGGTGTGTTGTTGTTGTTGTTGTTTCTTCCGCGATCGCTTCTTCTAAACCCGACTATCGCCTCGGCCTGCAACCCCCCCCCTCACCTCCCCCCACAGAAAGTACCTGATCACTGAGCTCCGTGTTTTGAAACCGCTGCGTTGTCTCGGGAAATTGAGTAAGTTGTTGTGAAAATTGTGTAAATTGCTTGCGTGTCATGAACACGGTGAAGCTACTTGACCGCAGGCTTCTGAATCAATAGTTTGATTGTACACGTAACAACTTTAAAATTCTGGGTTGTTGGACCGAGCGGAACCCGCAGCCCTGCGCGGCCCCAAGGGCGTCAACGGGACAACCCGAGTCCCAGCCGACGGAGCGTTCCGGTCCAACCGAGCCGGGAAACCGGAGCGTGTTTGCGGGCGGAGACGCCGTCGCGATGGATCGGACGGTCTGCAGCTCCTCTGGCGGATCGAGGCCGTCCGCCTAATGGAGCGTAATGGATGCCAGTCGGTACACGGAGTGCGTTATGCTGTCAGACGTCTTGAACATTACTCTCTCTCTCTCAGGTCCTCGGGGCTCGGCTTCACCTTTCTCTTGAGGAGGGCGATTGCCGATTCACGAAGGCTGAGTCGGATAAAACAATGTTTTGCTGGGCGGCAGTTTCTGATTAGTCACCAATTGTGTTTGCTGTTTATAACTAAACAGAAAGGAGAACCTGTGCTTGATTTGATGGCTGAGGATGTTCCACATAGGTGACAATTGTGTTTTTGTGTGTGTGTGTGTGATTAGCGATGCATCCAATCTAGTTACAGTGTTTGCATGAAGCTTTGCTCGGCCTCTTTTTTATCTGCTGAGGCAGCCTGGTGCACTCGAATGGTACACATTTCATTTAGGGACTCTATAATGAGGTCAAAAGAGGATTATTGTTCTTGTTAATGGGTCAGTCGTTAAAAAAAAGTTACAAACCTCTGAACAATCGCATTCTTAATACTCCGACTGCACATACGTTTAAGAATCAATACAAGCAGTCTGAAGAAACTGCACTCGCTTTTTTCATTAGAAAGTGCTTATAGAAACTAAACAAGTTTCTATTAGAGTCCTATTGTTACAAAAATTCTGCACAGATGTTATTTTTTGCAAGCTTCGCCCGTCATAAAATGGAGCTCGGAGAAGAAGTGAGAGGAGAACAGAAACAAGTGTCACTAAACTGAGAATCCCACTGAGCTGAAGTGAAACCCGTCCTGGTTAGCTGCCGTCACTGCATCCGTGCAGAGGCCTTCTTGTTGACCCCCCCCCCCCATCCCAGTAACAGCACAAACATTGCTCCTGATTGGCCGGTTAATATATACAGTACATTCTACTTATTTCCATTGGTGTTTGCTTGGGATGTGAAGACAATCAGCTGAGCGTTGCAGAGATCTAACGTAACCGGCTTCTCTGGCGTTGTGCGTCGTGCACAGATTATCCGAGCTGCCAAGCACCTGCAGAGTGGACCGACGTCGGGTCAAAGTCCACGCACTCACGCCACATGGAGTCAGCGGAAGGCAAACGTCTCAGTTTGCTTTCTAGTGGGTGAGGGGTGAGGGGGGGGGGGCTGCAGGGGGCTGCAGGAGTCTCTGTGGATTGTTCTTCTCCAGAAAAGTAGGCTCGCCTCCTCCTTGGCCCGAGTCGACGAGGATGTGCTCCAACCTGTAAAAGGAATTGAGCTCAGAGAGGAGGACAGAGGTGAGATGGTTCCAAATATGGGCATGGAGTGTACCAGTAACCCCCCCCCCCCCCCTCTCCCCTACGGGGGGACACACACACACTCTCACCCTCAGAAGGAGGGAGGAATGCATCTTCACTCTTGGAGTGGTCCCACAAAAAAAAGAACGTTTTCGACCAGGCGCCTATTCAACTGTTCCACGATGCCAGACGAAGGATGAGTCAGCGCTCCCACAATGCCGAGGGGTTTTTCCTCAGGACTTTCAGCTGAAGCTGTCACACTCATTTCAACAAAGAGATTGAGAAGACAAAGTAAAGAAATGGCCGAGTTGGCGTCAGTGCCCCTTTCTGTGCTCGAGGAGGCAGAAAGCAGTAGCCCGCTGTGTGCGTGTGTGCGTGTGTGCGTGCCCGCGCGCAGCATGCGAGGACCTGTGTGAGAAGAAACAGGCAACAACAGAGAAAACGAAAATCTGTTCTCTTTTTATTTGGCCTTTAGTGTGACGATAAGGGGAAACGAGGACTGTTAAAAATATGTTTTGCATAAACCTCAAAGTCCGGTTTGCGCCTTCAGTTAAGTTTAGTAACTTGTTTGCGATAGGTTAAATGTTTATGGGTTAAACGTTTTTAAGCTATCATGTACTTGCACTACACATTAACCTTTATGGGACGGCTGCACTTTGCAAGTTTGAAAGCTTATCTCGCCTCCGCTTTCCAATCGGTGATATTCGCTAAGTTTGGTCCCTTTCGATGTGTAAATAAAGAACCAGCGACTGTTTGAAGCTCTGCTTCGACGAGCGTGCAGCTCGGGTTCGATGAGCGTTTCCCACGGTGCCACATGTCGCGGTTTACCTCGTTGTCTCTTTGCAACAAGCTTCCTGTTCTCACAGTCCTCACTTCTCACTTTGTGTCTTCACTTTGTGTTGGAGTCCTGGGGTTTCACTCCAAAAGATGTAGACCTGTACGCACACGCCACCATAACATAGGTCAGCCCTATGTATGTATGTCATTAGAAAGCCGTTGTTCTGCACAGTACGGGGAGGCCATGGAGGTGACCTTGTTCAGCTCTGGAATGTGGTCTCTTCTCTCTGAGGCACGTAGGTAGTTCGGTCGATCAGACTATTGAGTAACTTCTTGCTAGTCGCCGTCTGGTTTGAACATGACGTTAGGAGGAGACAAAAGACCGGCACGGACTGAATCACTGTTTGTTCCCCAATTCACCCCTGTGTGTCTATCAGCGTTATTCACAGCTGGTCCGAAGGCAATCACCGAAGCTGTGAGAAAGTTTGAGTTTCTATCCCCGAGACGTTGTCGGATTGCACTTGATCGTTGAGTTACTCCTGCAGGGTTCAGTCCCCCCCCCCCCACCGTCCGCAGAGAGCGATACCTATTCCTGGACGCGAGGCCCGAACATCATTAAAAAGTAATCGTTGGCTGCAGTTGAGGGCTAAAAAAGAAGAAACGGGGCTTTCAAACGGAGGTACCGTGAACTCCTGGAGGAGGGAAGACGCCTGATGAATCAGGAGGGACAGTGAGCCGGGATCGGAGGCAGCCACCAATGACATCACTCTCGTCTCCGCTGTCTTCAGGGCCGGCGTGTGTGTGTGTGTGTGTGTGTGTGTGTGTGCCTCCCTCCCCAGTAAAGCAGTGTCATGGCGCACATGTTAACCACCTCACAACGTGAACGCTGCTGCCTACAAATCCCTCGGAGAGCGGTGAAAGAAAGAAGAAAGGGTGGTGGGGGGGGGTGTGGGGGTCAGGTAAATGGAGAACGGGGAAGGTGGGGGCCTGTCTGTACTTGCCAACACATTTGGAGGGACGGGGGGGGGCTCTGAGAGCACAGCCTTATACAGACATTTCAAAGACAGCGTTGTGCCCCGGCTGTGCACCGCAGCTTCCTTACCCCCCCCCCCCCAACTGACCGTGACGCCGCAGAGAGATGAGGAACTGTCGGTGTTTACTCTAGCTCGAGCCAACTAAGTGACAACTAGTTGACTTGGCGGTGGTCTTCACCGCGCTGCGAGCCCCACGCCCTGTTAGCGCCGAGTCAACACGCGGACGCCTCGGCGTGAGCTCCGTCTCAGTCTGGCCCCCGAGTCCTTGGCTCTCTCGGACATTAAATATGCATCCGTTTCCCCAGTCCGGGAGCCTCTGTCCCCTCGCGCTTCCCGCAAGCGCGTCAGCGGCGGGATGCGGATGATTCAGTGAGATCCGAGGACGCCGCAGTGTTCATCCGACCCCTGGGGGCGTTTTTCTTTTAACCTGCTCGAGGCGATTGCTGGCCGCCGGGGCGTTGATTTAAGGCCGCTGTTGACCTGCAGCTCTTTGCAGAAGGCTTCCTCTTCAAACGGTGACTCTGTTTCCTTTTGTGATCCCTTTCATTTGAGTTCATTCAAGTAAGAAAAACCCCAAGATTCAAAAATCTGCATTTTTATCTTCCAACTTGATCAATATATGAACCGAGCGAGACAGAAATAAAGAATAAACAAACGTAGCAGTGCTTTTTAGTGGGCAAAGTCTGCACTGGAACATTATTTTACATTCTCCCAAATGTTTCTTTTTCATTTCTACAATGCAACCTGTATGCAGGTGCAACAATTCATGCTCTATTCAGGAAACCAATGGGTATTGGGCAGTTGTGAATTTAATGAGTTGAAATGTAATCTAGTAAAACGTTGTTCCAGGCTTGAAACTTTAATAGAAAGTTTTTTTAAGAGCATCCTAAAAGGGATAATATTATAGTTGGAATTATGTCTTGTTTGATTACATAAAACGTATGCACTTAACTCTTTTATTTTTTGCGTAAATAAATCAATTACAATAAATGTCCCAATACCTTCTGATTGTTATGAATCATCTGTGTCTTTGTAAATTTCCGTCTGCATCGATCAGAGGAAGCTACTGTGAAAACATTCTCTGTGTCAGTTATTAGACGCGTGGAACATAACTCAGTTAGAGGTGTTTTTGAGGTTCATATTATACACAGCAGCCCCGGAGCGATCCGATACAAGTTGTAATATATAGGACGTGTGTGTGTGTGTGTGTGTGTGTGTGTGTGTGTGTGTGTGTGTGTGTGTGTGTGTGTGTGTGTGTGTGTGTGTGTGTGTGTGTGTGTGTGTGTGTGTGTGTGTGTGTGTGTGCGTGCAAAATTGATTGTACAGACTGAGCCAGTCCTAATTAGCAGAGTCGGCACAGAGAAGTGGGTTGTGGCTTTGGTGCGTTGTCACTGGAAATAGCCGATTGTATCACGGGCGAGACAGATGGAGGGAGAGGGGAGGCCGTGGATTAGGGGACTATGCTCAGAGCTCGGGGGGGCAATAAGAAGAAGGGGAGGATTGGTAGAAAACAGAGAAAAATCGAATCCGCCGTCTGCATATTTGTGTCCGTGTTGCCTTCTGCGCCTGTTCCCCTTTTTATTTGTACTTCACACCTCGAGTGTGAGGTACAAGTGTGAGACATGTGTTGGGCCTGTTTGTGGTCTCGCACTGATCGCGCTGCCCCGGTTTTTGATCCATCTTCGGATCTTCGTGTCTACAATGCAAATCTATGAGCGCTCGCTTAATGCGCGGCTATTCCTCAAAGAGCCGGAGCTGGCGTACGTTGGGCCTGCGTGCAGCTACTTTTTTTTTTTTTTGCATCGTCACCGCTCAAGCGCCACAAGCTCTGCCGTGGGGGTCGGCGGGAGGCGGGAGGATTCCGGCGCCTCGGCTCCGTCGACGCAGCTCGACGCAACTTCCCGTCTTTGTCAGCCTCCATTGTCGTCTCGCCTTCCATCGCGTTTGGCATCAAGCTAATCCCCCCTCTCTGCGCTCGCATCAACACCTCTCGGCGCTCAGACCTTCACTTTTTGCTTGGACACTGATCGGCCTCCTGATCGTTGGGGGTCTGCCTCTCTATGGCCGGAGAGATGCCATCAGCAACTCTCAGCTCGTTGGCAGACCTTTTGGTCACGATGCATCCGGTGTGCGTGTTTGAGCCCCTGCACACTTACAGAGGCCCTAATGATGAATGTGAAACCACAAGAGGAAGAGCAGTCTCTTAAATAGCGTATGTGGAGGGTTCGTCTGTCCGATGTCTTCGGTTCCTCGGCTCTCCTCCAGTTTGCTTTCCCCTTTTCCAGCTGCCGTCCATGCTGCACATACCAGAACCGAATGGAATTTCCAAGTGGTAAAATAAAGAGTGTGGTCCTCAGTTCACGTTGAGCTTTTTTTATGTGACACTAAGTCTTCTCAACTTTCCCCCCCCCCCTCAAGTTTCGTGTTTTCAGTAAACCTAAAGTTCAAGTACATCACTTGTCCCTCGCTCAAGGCCGGAGAGAAACAAAATACGGGATATAACCCCGAGGATCTTTCTCTCCCTGCAGACCTTGAGGCCTATCACCAGAAACAACACGTGTTTATGGTAGCGACCACGGAGATGGTTCTGTAATGAGTCACTACCACTAATCCCGGTTTCATTTTGGGGGCAGGGATTGTTGCATTTGCCAGTACTTTCTGCTCTGATGTACATTCTTTGTGCGCGCTCCTCTTTCTCCTCTTCCTCGCTGCATAGGGGGGATGTTTTGTGTTGTCTGAACTAAAAAAAGATTTTAATACAAAAATGGGAAATGTCTTTTACAGTATCTTTTTTTTTTTTTGAAAGCATGATGAATCATATCTCCAGTTTACCAACCGCCTCCCAAGTGAGATGCTTTTTCTTTTAGAGAAAAAAAAGTACTGTGTATAAGCCCTTCAAGTCATCTCCCGATGTTCTTTCCCGATTGTCCTCAACGGTTCTCCTTCTGTCCTCCAGCGAGTCGAGTATTTGCCAGGCTCGGGCCACTGTGATGATCTACGACGATGGCAACAAGAAGTGGCTGCCGGCGGGCGCCGGCCAGCAGTCCTTCAGCAGAGTCCAGATCTACCACAACCCTTCCACCAATGCCTTCAGGGTGGTGGGGCGCAAGATGCAGACGGACCAGCAGGTACGCCCGCCAGCCTGCAGCTCGCCGCGCGTCTCTTGAAGTGTGCGCGTTGGTGGCGCGCGTGTCCATCGGCGTGCGGCCCGTGGGCGTCCGTGGTCTCCGTCGGGTCCGTGTGAGCGAGATGTTCATTCACATTATCGCCGTCTGCCTGCTTATCAGCAGTCCCTGGGAAGGCGCTATCGGCGATCGCGCCATGACTTTATGGCTTCTTTTAGTTTCATTCGTTTTTGGTCAATCATTTACTTTGCAGCCAAACATCGAGAGCAGGTACGGCCGGCTCCAACATATTAAGAATAACTTTAGACTTTCGACTAAAGTGTCGCAGCGGAGGCCGCAGTAAGTCACCTCTGCTGCAGACTTGATCTGATAGTTGATCTTAATGCGGGAGAGACTGCGGCGCGCTGAAATGTCTTGTTCTATTTGTGTAACTAGTCAGTCGTAGTAGTTTCTATCTAGTGTTTAAGTGTCTTTTTTAGAAGTGCGCAATTCTGTGAATGCTTGAGAGGAAGCTGGAGAATGCGGAGTTGCTTTCAGTTTACTTCCTTTCTATTTATATTGTGGTTTCAGTTGTGTTGTTATGAATATTCAGACATTTAATTAAATTGCTCAGCCTCATATGTAGAGAACAGACTGTTCTTTGGACGTGACAACAGGCAAGTTTGAATAGGAGAACAAAGCGGGTTTCCTGGTCGTTATCACCAGGTTGTGACTCACCAGATAAAGGTGGGCAGATTCGAAGTGAAATCGCTGGGTAAACCGAGTTTGGGTGCGTCTACTCTCGGATACGCCTGCTCTGCCCGTCTCTCTCTCTCTCTCCTTTAAACATTCAGCACTCCAAAGTGTTCCCCGGAGACGGCTCTTAAAGTGGAAGACGTTTCCTGAGATAGTTAGCCCGTGCAACCATTTCCTGTGACAATTTAGGGAGAAGCCCGGCACCCAATGAGGACTCTCTCTTTGTGTCTAATGGCGTGCATTCACAGAGAAGCTAATGTGAGAGAATACAGGCTGGCACGGTTTTCTCTCTCGCTCTGCCAGCATGTAGAGTTACTTTTGTTTCATACGTTGAGGCCTGTTTTTAAATTGAAGGTGGAACCTCCGGCCTTTCTCGCCTCGACGGGATTGTGGATAGTTGATGAAATGCCACCAGTGGCAGCTGAACTCGCTAACCTCCTCTCTGTGTATGATGCTCGTGATGATATTTACCCCCCGACAGGGTCTCCTCTCCTCCTCCTCCTCCTCCTCCTCCTCTCTGCTCTGTGGAATCCAGTGGCTGTTAAACAAATAGTCAAATGGCGCGTCAGCACATTCAGGCAGCGCTCGAATCCAGAACATTGTTTTCCCTTGTGGTTCACAGGCCACACGCCCCCTGCTGGGTGGACTATAAACCAGAGCAATCCCAGCAAAAATAAAGCGCATGTGGATAATACTGTTTTCGTTCTTTCATTTGTTTGAATCTGTACAAAAAGTATAAATTTTGGCGCACAATCACTATACACAAGTATCGATCACATGTCCTCTTCGCTCCCCAGGTGGTGATAAACTGCCCCATTGTGAGAGGTCTCAAGTACAACCAGGCCACAAACAATTTCCACCAGTGGCGGGATGCCCGGCAGGTGTGGGGGCTCAACTTTGGCAGCAAAGAGGATGCTACCCTGTTCGCCAGCGGCATGGCTCATGCTCTGGAGGTGCTAAACTCCGTGGCAGACGCAGGTACATCGGTTCACTCCGGAGTCACAGTGCCACCACAAGCCTTGGCTACTGGATCTGCACCTCCAGGTCCATTAAAAGGCAAACGAAACCACACCAGGATGAGCTTAGACAAGCTTACGTTTTGTCCATAAGCATTCAGCCATAATTCTTATATCACATATTGGAAAATATTCCAATCTTTTTTGCAGAATTATCACAAATACCTGTTCTAATGCATACGTGTTCTAATTACTTGTTTGCAAAACCTTTTACAAACATGTAATTAGAACACGTATGCTCTTTTACACCGAAAATATGCTGCGAAGAACGTTGTTACAGTGTGGTATAGGCAGTGCAATTAATGACCATAAGATATACTAAAGGCACACCACCCTTCTTGGTTCTTCCGTAGTTTCATGTCCGTCTCCACCGTACTCAGACTTTGCACAATCGTCTGCAGGGGTGGAAAAAGGTGTGTACATCAATGAAAGCACAGAAACCATTGGCTGCATTTCTGTGTCACAAAATACCAATCAGGAATTGTTTACCAATCCCCGGCAGTGTGTGCACGTTAAGTAATCCTGTACGTTTTCATCAGGAATGTTTTGTGTGCCGTGTTCCCTGCAGGCTATTCGACCCTTCCCCGCCAGGTATCAAATGGACCCACTCCAGAAGAGCTTGAACAACAGAGAAGGTACCATCCGCCGTTCTGTCTGTCTGCTGATTTTAATGAATCGCTGGCCACATCTTTTAATTATTTTATTGGATTCTGTCTAGCCGTGATTCTGCGGGGATGACGGGGGGGGGGGGGGGTCCAGGTGTCTTCTGGGTTTTCAGGCTGGATTCAGCAGAAGAGATGGATAATGTCACTGAAGTGGATGTATCCGTCAGAAGCAAACTCTCCTGCGGGTCTAGTTGCGTAACATTCGATAGCAAGTCAAGCTGCCTTGGCTTTGGAGTAGTCTTGTCTGCACATACGCATGAATAGAGGATTGGATGGCATTAGGCTGACAGTGCTAAACCCTCCGTCAGCCCCAGTATGTCAAAGGTTAAAGGGACAGGAAGGCAGAAAGCTTGCACCAACCTCACCTGCTCTCCATCCATCTATCTGTGTCGGCCGCACATGCCGAGCCATCAACCTTTTAATCTCATCGGGCCTAAAAGGTAACATGTTGCACAGTACGGGAGGCTTTTTGTGATTGGCTAGAGGGACTACGTCAAGTTACCAGCTGGCCCAGTGATTAATGACACCCTGTCGTTTAGGGATCCTTTAAACCTTTGGTGTTGGTGGATATTATTTCATTATTGCTTATCGGCCCGATGAGCACAGATTCACGATGTTTGTCACCGTTGTTGAAAGGCTGTCGAGAAAACTGAAAAGCATAAGGCCGTCGCCTCCCATCCCCCCTTTCCCGGGCACTCTGCCTAAGTGGATCAGCCGCGCTTTAAATCACAGCGACTCTCAGATTGTGTGTGTGTCCGCCTGTGTGTGGACCTGTGCATTTGGAGTGCACATTGCATGCGTGCTGTTCTGTAAAACAGCTGTTGTAAGCGGCAGATGTGACCGAGGGGTGGAGGGGGACCGAGACCGGGGCCGCTCGAATGAGGCCACCGGGTCCAGCTGTAGACTTTACGGCGGAGGGCTAATCAGAAGCCATGAAATCCACCTCTCGTTCTCCTACCGAAGCCTTCACGTCAAAAGCAAATTATAGCACCGCGCACCGGTGCCAGATATAATCAGACGGTAGTTGTTTGAACACGACGGATGGTGCGTTGATAATCAAATGATACGCAGGACGTTTTCACTTTAATCTGGAATGGCAGCGACCTCTGCGCTCCTACGATTCGCTTAATCTCACAGCTAGTCTGTTTTAATCACAGCCCCCAGATTACACGCAGCAACTTCCCGCTTTGTTTATCCGCCGATTTGTCCTGTTTACACATACGTGCCGCTGACAGATGTTTTTTTGTGTGTGTGTGTGTGTGTGTGCGTAGGCTGGAGCAGCAGCGGCTGGAGCAGCAGGAACGAGAGCGTCAGGAGCGGGAGAGACAGGAAAGAGAGCGGCTGGAGAGAGAGAGACAAGCTGCTGCAGGTCAGGAAGCACCTGGGCCAATCGACATAACTGAGGCCTCACTACGGTTCAGTCTCAGAGTCGCCTTGTTAAGGGAGCACTGCCTTAAGGCCACCGCACACCAACACACACACACACTCACACACACACATTAACAGTGTCTAAAAAGCAATGAAAGCGTGGTGATTTATTGTGCTGCAAAGTGAATACAAATGTGTATATGTGCAAGCAGACATTATCAATAACAAAAAGAAAAGGTTTAATGGATTTTAACTTTATTTCTGTGTGTCCTGCGTCGGCCTTTGGTGTGTTGACATGCGTTTTTTATAGTAGGATTGAGGATCGTAGATTATACCTGTAGACTGGTTCGTCAAGATAATCAAGATCGTTAACGTCGTGAGACCCGAGCTGGCGCTCCCTGTCACCGACCCGTTGCTGTTAGGGGACGCATACTGATGGATCCCTTTCTGTGTCTTAGTCTCTATTCCCCCAGCTCCACCGCTGGCCCCCTCAGGCCCCGCTCCTCCACCGGCCCCTCCTCCACCCCCTGGCCCCCCTCCGTCTGGTGGCATCCCTCCCCCGCCTGGACCCCCACCACCGCTGGCCCCGCCCTTGCCCTCCCTTGTAGGAGGTGGAGGTGGTATTAGTGGAGGAGGAGGAGGAGGCGGAGGCGGCGGCAATGGAGGTGGTGGTGGTGGCGGAGGAGATGACGATGCTGGGGCATTTGGAGGAGGGGGCTTGGCGGCTGCCATCGCAGGAGCTAAACTCCGGAAAGTATCAAAGGTGAGTAAATGAGGAAACTGTCGTAGGCCGGTGGATTTTTGACAGTACGGCAGCTTTGTATTCTTACTGCTTTTAAGGCGACGTGAGCTGCACAGTTTAATCCACCATGTCTGCTGAACTCTTGGGTATCTTTTTGGCTATTTGCTGCCCTCAGCAGGAGGACGGAGCTCCTGCGACTCCAATAGTCAGAGCGGACTCCAGCCGCGGCAGCAACTCCTCCATCGGGGGAGGTGGAGGCGGCGGTGGTGGCGGCGGCGGTTTGATGGGGGAAATGAGTGCCATCCTGGCGCGAAGGTGTGTGACTTCACTCATTTCAACAAAGGCTTACCTACTTCTGATTTTATGAATTAGTGTTTATTTATTTCAGGAAAATGTTCATATTTAAAGTGCAATGCATTATATACAGTATTGTGTAACTATTTGAAAACCGCCTTTGTACATCAGGAGAAAAGCTGCAGAGCCTGGAGAGAAGCCCCCTTTGAAGACACAAGATAATGTAAGAACCTGCTGTTGGTCACATTTCTGTTTCCTATGCTGCAATAGTGTCTGCGTATGTGGCCCCGCACTGCAGTTAATAGTTATGAAATAGAAGCAGCATGGTAATGACTCACTCCTTTTTTATTTTTATTTTTTTGCATACAGGATGATTCAGAGCCTCAAGGTCAAGGCGGTGAGAACCGAACAATTCCATCCGTTGCATTCCGCCTACACTTTCTGATATTAATTTAACGTGGTACCAAGTGAACGTCACCCGCTGATGTTTTTCCACATGTTGCCTCTCAGACACCCAGAGAAGACCGTGGGAGAAATCATCCATGACCAGGTAACGCAGGATTCAGTTATTGCTATTCTGCCGTCGTCCCCCCGTCAGGTGTTGGTGTCTCATGTTAAAACTCACCCTAAAAGTAGTTCTCCATCGGTGTGAGTGCGGTTGTGTGAACATGTCTTTGTTTGCATGTGGACAACAGTGCTTTTGTGTTTGAATGTCTTAAATTTCCATTCTAAGAGAAAGTGTGTGTGTGTGTGTGTGTGTGTGTGTGTGTGTGTGTGTGTGTGTGTGTCTCACTAACAGGAATAACTCCATCCCCAAGAGCATGGACTCCGCCCCCTCATTGTCCCAGGGTTTCAGGTATACATGCTGCCCTGTTCACTCAGGACCTCAGTTGCCCCTTTTTCTTTCCTCTTGAGGTTAGCGTAGCACCTCTGCACACGACGTCCTCCAGTAGCATCGTTTTCCAGTTGATAGCCGCTCCATCGAATGGATCAGAGATCCTCCACCCGAGGATCTCTGAATAGGAGGAGAAGGACATTTCTGAATTATTGGTGTCCTTTTGATCGATACGTTAACCCTCACAGCATCGCTGGGTGTGTGGACATTTCTGCAACTGTCCTACTGGCTATTCCTTCGTCCCTCTGGTGCTGCTGCCAGTGCTGCTTTTTTATCCTGTTTCTTTTTTTCGGGAAGAACAAAGCTCAGCAGTTGTCTGCATTGGTCTGCTTCTTGTCTCCTCACAGGCCGAAGACCGCGGGCAGCAACAACAATGATACAGGAGTAACGGATGACTCGGATTTAGAGAAAATGAAACAGGTGAAATTTAAGGAGCGGAACCTCAATGGGTGAATTTACAGGCGGCTTTCTCCGTAAGCTAGTTTAATAAAAGCATGTGTACATGAATTGTTGGTCCCCAGGTGTTTTTTAACCTTTTTGACCTGTGTAATACGCTGTAACCTCGCCATGCCTGACCATCTGTCCTGTGATCTGGTATTCTGCAGGAGATCCTGGAAGAGGTTCGTAAAGAACTCCAGAAAGTTAAGGAGGAAATTATTGGAGGTGAGATTTTTTTGCACTAAATTCCACAAACATTTATCTTTATACATCAATTTGTTCTCATAATGCTTTTTTCCCCGCCCACAGCCTTTATTCAGGAGCTGCAAAAGCGAAGCACATAGTTCAGCTGAGTGTCAGGTGTAACAGGGATGCGATAGATGGAGGTGGCTGAGGACTATTGGGACCTCTCCTCCACGGCGCCCTCCCATGTAGCCCAGGGATTTTTTTTTTTTTCTCCTTCTACACATTTTCTGTTTTCTTTCTCTATCACGCAAACGCATGTGAGCTTATGTGTACATCATGCATATTCACTTCATGTAAACGGTAACCCTCCCCCATGCCACCCGGCACTTTTGATGATCAATCGTTAACATTGCAACGGTGATCCCATCCTCCCCCCCCCCCCCCTGTTCATTCATCCCGTCCCCTTGGGTCCTCCGTGTTCTGTTCATCTGAACCAATTCAGAGCACATAGCTACGGCCACTGTCATTCTCCCAATTTGTCATCATGTACACTCATCACATCCCTCTTCTGCGGATATCCTGCTACTTGTGTCTTCTTCCTTCTATCAGACGCACCATTTACTGATCTTTACAGTCTTCAGTATTCAGGGACACTGTATTAGTCACATTTTTACTGTAATAGCGAGATGCTGGCATGCTGAGATCCTTTTGTCTTTCTCAGTTGGCAAACAATTGTTTGACCTCAAGCACTGCTACAGGTAGTTGAGCTCAGCTCAGAGTTTATTGTCTCTAATGGTAGTTGGAGGTGGAAGAACAATGATCAGGGATGGATCGGAGACACCAACTCCGCGACGACTGCAGCGTCACTCAGCCGAGTGGACTTTCCAGCTCTAACTTACACGGCGCAACGCGAGCCGTCACTGCGGCAAGATGGAGTTTGAGGAAGAGGAGACAAGCAAAAGGAATCTGACGGACAACCTGTGTGCTGTGAAAGAGGAGTGTGTTGTAGTTTTATGATGTGTAATAAATGTTTTCTCTTTGCATTGCACTTGTTCCAGGAGGAAGTGGGTCTGTGTGCCACACTGCCTTGACAGACAATTCCCTCTCAAGATGAGACGTTTGTTGGCCTGTGCAGTGGTCCCACACTGTGCTTCCGCTAGTTAATTTCTTCCATTCAGCTATGTTTTCTAACCTTGAAACATGAAAAATGGCCATGATGAGGTCAATTAATTTGGCCATGACCAACTGCCTTGAGAATAAATATATAAATATATATATATATATATGAGGAAAATATATATTTGTTTTGAGGGGAAAATGTTAGCAAAAATTAAATGGTGTTTCTATTTTAATCGAAATGACTGGTGAATGGGGATTTTGTTTTCCTTTTTTCTTTTTCAATGATTGTTTTCTTATGAGATGTTATTTTGGGTTTACTGTTTCTTTTTTCTAATAGAGTCTAGGCTTTTTACACTGAAATAAGAAAACAGCTTAGAGACACTGGATTAGAAATGCCTTCATAGTCGAATACAGCTGCTTCTTGAAATGCATTAATTTGTCTCGAGTCATCTTTTTGGAACCTGCTATAAGATTTCTGTCAATTCAGACTACGGACATTTTGCACTAACTTGCATACAAATATTGTGGAATACATTGAACAATTTCTGCCATGTGGCTCATGACTGAATTCTAGCTTTAATATGACAATAAATATGTGCAAACTGACCATCTCCGCCATGCAGAGGCGAACATTTCAATGGCATTGTTTTACTGACCGTTTTCATATTTGTTTTTCACAAAGTAATATTCTCTCTGACGTGTAAATGGTAAAGATAAGCTGTCAATTAAAAAAAATAGTTTATAATTTTGTTACGGAACTGACGTACGTGGGCTGTCAATTGCCTGGTTTTATAGACTCCAACTCGAGAAACCGGTAAGGGCAAAATCACACGCATTGGATTATTTTATTTAATCGTAAAGGGGTTGGAAAAAGCACTTGATTGATCGGAGACATCCTTCACACCGAGCCAGTGTCCTTCCAGCGCTCCGCTGACGCTTCCGGAGCGAGAAGCTTCTGAGCCGTTTCCGCCGCCATTGCGGATTTTGGACAGAAGATCAGCCGTAGCCGCTGCCGTCCATCGATGCAGTGCGGAAGGCGCACACACACACACAGACGGTGGGGGGGACATAATTTACATTTTTACTGATAACACATTTCGGAAACACGACTAACTCCTAACCCACATATTAGCCTTTTTTTTTTCTTTCGTGCTTTTTGGTTTTCGCCGACTGGCTCCGACCTACACGCACAGTGAGGAGGTCGTAGCTAGCAGCGGTGCTACCGCCTAGCAAGCTAGCTGCTAGCCGTACGGCCGGGATTTCAGCACTCTGGAGAATCTCAAGGAAACCACCATGGCCCAGATCCTACCCATCCGCTTCCAGGAGCACCTGCAGGTATGTGCGACAGTGCCGGTGGCTTCACGGGCGTCGACGTTCCCGTTATTTGTTGATTTGTGCCCCGCTCAACGTTCCGTTTGACAGCTTGCTAGCCGGGCTAACGGTGAAACGTCAATACCCGCAGCAAATGAATGACCTCCCCTCCCCCGTTTAGTCAGCAGCCAAGCTAACTGGCTAGCATTTAAGGCTAGCAGCTCATTCATTGCACTGGCGCTTACGCGAAACCGCTCTAGCCGACGTGAGGTGTCAGCCATGACCAAGGAGAAATGTTTTTTGTAACACTGGACATGGTTCATGCCCCTTAGTGACCAGTTATTGCTCCATTGACCTACGCTATCCTACATTTAACGTTACGTGAGCAAACAGCCGTTACGTTGTCGAGCTAATCAGTGCGCGAGGGATGTGCTAGTCACGTCGTCCAACGTCAGTTAACCCCAATTAATCGCAGCGTTCGTTGGAACCTGGCTAACGTCACCGTGCGTCACTCGGACGGCTTCTGGTGTTGTCGTGACGTCGTGCGGACCCTCGGTTGACGATGTGTCAAGCTGTGTGCTAAAGGCTAGCCAGCGCTAGCAGCTTAGAGCACCCTTCGGTGGGCTGAAGTGCGACTGGAAACCTTCGCCGCACAGCGCGGTACTGTCACGACCAGACGTGCTGATTGAGAGCAGAGAGACCGAGGTTTATTCTGCATTCGTGACATGTCGCCTCCTCATCCAGCTGACGGGAGGTGAAGCCGCTGGTCCTCCCGTTCAGTCTGTAATGACATCACTTTCTCCTCGGCTACACACGCGTTATCGTTTTCTAAAACATCTGGACACGAAATCAGGGTCCGTTCAGTCCCAACTGGTACAGCTCAGTTTATGAATGTGTTGTATTATTTGATGTGCTCAGTTTTCTCACTAAAACCTTTTGATTCTGAGATAAGCCCCACAGAACTACCTTCCTACCTTTTCATACTGTGACTACCATGCGCCTGCGATGGCCTTTTTGCCATCAGAACCAATACTCCGAGCCAGCAGTCGCTCATTGTGTTTTACTGAGCCTCACTGTTCTAGATGGGTGGTAAAACATAAATATAAAATTAAGTAGTGATATTGAGGTGTATCTCGTGAGCTGGGATGTGAGTTTATATTTACGTGACTAAGTCACGTCCACAACATGAGAAAAAGTTTTTTTTTGCCTATTTGAAAATGAAAAAAAAATAAACAAAGATGCTTATTATTGGACACTTATTACATAAGCTCAGTATCGTATTCATAATGAGATTTTCATTATTTTTTGCCTTGTTAGTAATATGATGTCCCCATATCATTTGGACATAACTACCATTAATACATTAAAGAAAATAAAACGAAATATATGTATTTTACTTCATCCAACCGTGTCGACCATGTCAGGCTGCTTCTAAAACAAGTCGTGCGTTCTTATCTCAGCTCCAGAACCTGGGAATCAACCCGGCCAACATTGGATTCAGCACTCTCACCATGGAGTCAGACAAGTTCATCTGCATCAGAGAGAAAGTGGGTGAGCAGGCCCAGGTCGTCATCATCGACATGGCCGACCCCAACAATCCCATCCGCAGGCCTATCTCTGCAGACAGCGCCATCATGAACCCTGCCAGCAAAGTTATTGCCCTTAAAGGTAAGCGTTACGCACTTCCAGCACCTAGCCGTATGTGCCACCCAGCGTGGAGAGCACAGAGTTTCTGAGAGCACGTAGACTCAAGAGTAAGCCGTTAAAGTTGCCACAAAGCCCTCTAGGGTGCTTTTCTAATACATCGGGTCATTTGTGTAAAATCCGTTTATGTTGTCAGTCAGTTACATAGCTTTCACAGTCTGCTTTTCATTTCGATGTTCATATGTAGACCACTCCATTTCTGTTTGTCTAGAACAAGTTGAGTAGTTGAAGTACAGTTGAACAAATTGAAATGTACTATTTTAGGAGAGGTGGTACCAGTGGTAGTAAAATGTCATGCTGTCATGAATGCTTTGTCTATTTTGCTTGTTTTTGCTCTTTTTTTCATTTCCTACTGCTTTCTTATGTTTGCAGACGGTGAGTTGAATTTTACATATCATGAGTTGTCAAAGTGTATTATTGTTGCCACTGTCTTGAAATGTTTGCACAGTTAACCATTTTAATGAATGCCTGGATTTATAATAACACAAGCAAGCAAAGCAAAACTAAGAGGGCAGCTTAAAGAAACGTACCTTTTTATTTCCTTGTTTGTTTGCGTTTAATTTCCGTTGGTGTTGGTCCGATTTGCTGTACATATATTCTATAATACAGCTGACCATTTTCTGACACCGTTTAATAGATGTACTGTAGGTTGGTATGTCTAAATATATCTCTTGGTCCCATGAATATGCAGTGTGTTTCCTCCAGTTCAACTAGAATAAAATAAATAAAAGTGTTGCGAGTACATCCATTCAGCATCCTTTCCCTCATCACATCTGTTGGTGTGCTTCGTGGTCATCTTTTGCTAATCTGCATCCAGACCCAACACAAGCTCCCACACCCCTCATTTTACGGAGAACATTTTGATGTGAATCCCTTAAGAGCTTTGAGGAGTTTCATTTCTCCAGGCGGTAGTGTGGGTGGAGGGCTGGACACGGGCCTCATTCAGACGTTCTCTGGGCACCATGTTTTTCTGCAGACGCAGGTTCCCTAATTCACCCGGTTCTGGTCAGATTGATCAGCGGAGCATTGGACTGTTGCCCCCAAAAAGACATGGAAAGGCATTGTTGATGCAGTTGAGAAGCACAGAGTAGTAGTAACATCTCTAAGCAAGCATCCAGACCTGCAATAGCACCGCGTTATTGATGCTGGTGTCCTTTGACTGCTGGAATGATAAACTGGATTTCCTGGATACTATTTCGAGTCAGAAATATGCCAGTTTGAAGACTAATCTGATGGATCAGGTCAACAATAGCGATGCCCAGTTGACATCAGCTGGGCATCACAGCCCCTCCCCCCTCACTGTGTCCTTACAGTGGCCTGAAATGAATGAGAGGGGGCTGCATTGTTGCGTTGTGGGTTTCATTTCAAAGTACAGTGACTGAATGCAGATCCAACAGTGGTTGCCCTTTTGGTCTTGCCTCTTGTTTTGACACTGATTAGGGCCGTCCCAAATACCACCTTTTTGAGGTTTCGAAGCTTCAGTGAACAACAGCCAACATCAAAACACAAAACGCATCAGATCAATCTGTCAGATTTTTACCTGCTATAATAGTTTTAATAAAATCTTCTGTCAGGTTTGGTTTTAGTAACTCACAGCGATGACAACTTCTTTATTGAAACCTGTGCAATAGTCACATCGGAATAAAATCGATCGCTCATAAAAAATATATTTGAGCAAAAAATATGAGCTCTGTGTTGAGGCTCTTCTGTTAGAGCTCGCACACACACAGACACACACATCGGTATGATATTGCTCTGAAAATATCTTTTCAAACAACTCCGTTAATTCAAGTTTCTCTCCAAAAGCTAGATTTCGAAAGATGACATTTGAACACATGATAACTTTACAACGTCCTTATTTTAGTAAGGTGCTGCCGATGTCACCGGCTCTCCTGTCATTACCAGCGATGTGCGACTAGAAAGCATCAATGCCCCTCTCACCACTGCCCGTTTGTAATAAATATCTTCCGAACACTTAATTCCCCCCTGTGGCGGTTGAAGTGGATTTAACTGACCTGGGGCTCTTGTGCCTACTGGTATAAACCCGGTCAGAGTGAGCAGGACCCCGACAAAACAAAGATAACAATACCGGCTGGAACGTCCATTACCACATGGCAACAGTGGAAGCTTCGAAGTATTTGGGTCAGCCTTAAGACTTTTATTGGCTTTTTGCACAGGCCTTTGGTGTTCCTCAAACCAAACCCCCACTACCAACCTTCCACCAGTGTTTGGAAGTTGGTATGCCCAAATTGTACGTGTGCTCCCAAAGTCCGCTGTGGTTTGTCTGTGGTAGCTTTAGTCGCCACCTGATTTTGCTTCTCTTTTTGTTTGACTGTCGTCATTAAGAGTGTTTTTTTTTTTTTTTGGGGTGGGGGGGAATTCATCTACGTCCTGTGTGCGTTAACCACCATGTCAATTTTCAGCGGCAAAGACCCTGCAGATCTTCAACATCGAGATGAAGAGCAAGATGAAGGCTCACACCATGACGGACGACGTGACCTTCTGGAAGTGGATCTCCCTCAACACCGTCGCCCTGGTGACGGACAACGCCGTGTACCACTGGAGCATGGAGGGTGACTCCCAGCCAATTAA